ACTCAAGCATGATTATGCGTCGTCCGACATCTCTCTGGGTCGCGGAGGTCCGGGTTCCTTGCACTCAGTCGATATGGCTGGTTTCGGCATGGACGGGACGGAAGATATTGGCGCGGTGCTCAGCCCCTAACCACAGAGCAGCCTATCCACCACTCGATTGATATGCCTGCGATGACCTTTGCATCCTCACCTTACCCCTCACATTATCACCATGTAACGACTTATCTGGATTGACGACTGCATGACTGGGCGTTTGCGATTATTTTTGTGCCTCTTTTCTTCATCCGGACGATGATCATTCACAATCGGATCGGCCCTAGCTGGCTAGTGGTCTCTCCAATTGGGCCTTTGTTTCGATGAGGCTTTTGATTGTCTCCTCTACCTTCTTCTCTCAGGGTCTGAGGGGTGGTTGCCAAAATCTGACCCTTTTAAGGATCCGATCGACCAAAGGATCAAATGGCGGTGGGCGTGATGTTAGGCCAGGTGGCCATCCGCCTAATGTGAGGCGTCTCGATGATCGGACTGACTCTTCCCACTGTCCACTCGGCGGATTTGGCCTCGATTGCTCTTTACCTGTTTATTTTCAATTCTTTTACTTTCCAGCACGTTTCACCTTTGTCCCCCTATCACCAACACCTGGAGTCTCTTTTCATCCGAGCGATGGGAGAGCTATTGGAGCCTACTGCCGCTTCAGTAAGACAGGTCTTTCCATACACTAGAGACATCCCCCACCCTGCACCATCTTTCCAAAAACCACTCGAAAAAAAGCATCCATTTCCCATATTCGATGAACAGAAAATGCCTCGAGCAGAGGCGAATTAAGTGTCTCTAATAGTGAGCCCCGTGTTTGATACCCCCTTATGCCCCCTTCCCCTCCTCCCCCTCCCCCCTATCCCCGGTTCTTATTCTTGTTTCGGTCCGTCGCTCTTTATCCCCTCCTCCACTGGACCTCTCTTTCAGGATCACTTTGGCGCTCATCTCCCGGCCGAACCCGCGTGGGTGCGTGCCGTCAAGCGATGTGGCAGCCGTCACTGGAATAGTGACAATTCACTGTGCTGTATGTACCTAGCAAATGGATAGCCGTGAATCACCGATTAGTTAGAGATCTAAGTGTGCCTGTCTGGTGTTGATGTAGGTTTTTGTTTTTTGTAGTTTCTTGTTTTTTGTAGTTTCTTGTTTTTTGTAGTTTCTTGTTTTTTGTAGTTTCTTGTAATACGTTGTAAGTTGGTGTAGTCGTTGGGTTAGGCAGCGACGGGCCCTAAACTGGAACCTCAGGAAGTAAGCTGGAATTACCCCGCGGGGAGCCAGACTGGGCAGCGCCATGGTTGAGGAGGTGGAGGAGGAGGCCGAGGAGATGGTGGCTCTACCAACACGAGGTGTTCGTCCCTCTCCACCCGTCATGCATGAGTGCCAGCCGGAGTTGCCATCCGCGCGTGAATTCTCCTTCAAATCAATCGCGTGGCTGTTCTAATATGTGTTTCAGGAGCATGTGTGCAGGGAGAAGAAGAAAAGGGAGAACCCCGATAAGAGGTGGATTGACTGTATCGACGAGACAGATAAGCGTAGGGATGCATTTCATAGCCAGAACTAATGGGCTTGTCTGATCATTGATTAATGACTTATCGTTCTTTCTTGGATTGTAGGTGTGCTTATCAGCGCGGTCTCGGACCGCGCCCCTTTTAGGGCGTCTAGCCCGACACCGGAGTCTGTTAGTGAAGGAGTTTATCGAGCCTGCTCAGCGGTGATTGGTAGAGTCTCTCTGCCTCCCCGGTTCGACGATGGGTCCTTTTCATGTGCAAGTCTGGAGAGAGTGGGAAGAAATGCTGAGTGGTGAAAGAAGGCAAGGGAAAGGATGACCTGGTCCTGGGTGACGTGCGGGGGAATTAAGCATTCCATTCATTGACTTAATGAGTCCGGAGTACTTACTGACTTCATTGCACTGTTGCTGGGAACATTCCTATCACTACCTTATTTCACCATTACCACTTCCACTCCCACTCCCACCTCTATTTCCTGTTTTACTCGCTCTATTCATCATTCATCCCATCATTCCCAGTTATACACTCCCTCCTTCCGTCCTCTCACCTTCCTTCTTTCCTCGCGGGGTATCCTAGTCGCATTCGCTACGCTCCTCTTCTTTCCTACTCTACCTAAGTCATCACTCTACCTGACCTGCGATGACAACCTCCCAATAAAAGCTTCCCTCTCGACTCCCATCCATCCATCCTTCCATCCATCAATATGCGTCAAGCCTCTGTGGATGCCAACGCCGATGAGGCGTTGGCTCGCATGGGGTACAAGAGCGAATTGCCGCGAAATTTGAGCATGCTCAGTATTCTCGGGCTGTATGTTAACCGTAGACTGGACTGCGATTGGAAATCTTGACTGATGAGAGAAACCAGGTCCTTTGCAATCATGGCCGCGCCCTTCGGTCTCAGCACCACCCTCTACATCACCCTCGCCGATGGCCAGTCGGTGACCATCATCTGGGGCTGGGTCCTCGTCACACTCATCTCCATCGCCATCGCCGCATCGCTTGCCGAAATCTGCGCCGTCTACCCTACCGCTGGAGGTGTATACTACTGGAGTGCCATGCTACCGACCCGACGATGGGCCCCGATGTTGTCCTTCATCGACGGCTGGCTGACGCTGGTGGGCAACTGGACCGTCACCCTCAGCATCACCTTCTCCGGTGGTCAGCTGATCCTGAGCGCCATCTCCCTGTGGAATGAGGACTTTGTGGCCAACGCGTGGCAGACGATCCTCACCTTCTGGGCGGTCATTCTTGTCTGCGCACTGGTCAATATCTTCTTCTCCAAGTACCTGGACTTGATCAACAAAGTGTGCATCTATTGGACTGCGGCTAGCGTGATTATCATATTGGTTACCCTCTTGACGATGGCGGATCATCGTCGCGATGCTGAGTTTGTGTTTGCGCACTACGACTCTTCGCAGAGTGGCTGGTGAGTTTCCTCGTCGGCGTGGACGGGTTCGTATTGCAGCTGACAGATGAATAGGCCGTCCGGCTGGGCGTTCTTCGTGGGACTCTTGCAAGCCGCGTATACGCTGACAGGGTACGGCATGGTGGCTTCAATGTGCGAGGAGGTGCAGAACCCGCACCGCGAGGTGCCCAAGGCCATTGTCCTGTCGGTGGCGGCGGCCGGCATCACCGGCCTGGTGTATCTGATTCCGATCCTGTTCGTGCTCCCCTCGGTGCAATCGCTCCTCGACGTCGCCAGCGGACAACCGATCGGGCTGATCTTCAAGACGGCAACGGGCTCCGCCGGCGGCGGCTTCGGTCTGCTGTTCCTGATCCTGGGGATCTTGATGTTCGCCGGCATTGGCGCCCTGACGGCCGCCAGCCGCTGCACGTACGCCTTTGCACGCGACGGGGCGATCCCCGGCTTCCGACTCTGGCGCCGGGTCAACGAGCGTCTGGACGTGCCCGTGTGGGCGATCGTGTTGTCGACCGCGGTGGACTGTCTCCTGGGGTTGATCTACTTTGGCTCCAGCGCGGCGTTCAACTCGTTCACGGGCGTCGCCACGATCTGCCTGTCCACGTCCTACGGGCTGCCGATCCTGATCCTCATGTGCCGGGGTCGTCGCGCGGTGCGCGAATCGAGCTTCTCGCTGGGTCGGTTCGGGTACGCGATCAACGGACTGGCCGTGTGCTGGATCGTGCTGGCGGTGGTGCTGTTCTGCATGCCCGTGTCGCTGCCGGTCGATGCCAGCAGCATGAACTACGCCAGCGTGGTGTTTGCCGGGTTCGCGGCCATCAGTATCGGCTGGTACGTGGTGTATGCCCGCAAGCATTTCACGGGGCCGCCGGTGGCGGAAGAAGTGGATGGGATGCCGGGGGTGATGACGGGGAAACCGGTGGATCCGGAGAATGTCCTGTCGGAGGGGGAGAAGGGGCGGCGAAGTAGCTCAGCGAAGAATTGATTCAGCTGTTTCCTTTTGATACAGTGGTTACCTTTTGTACATATTGATTCTGTGTTCTGGTATGATATTTGGTTTTGTGAATGATGTTTGGATGTATGTGGACGTAAATGTATATATGAGTATGCCTGACTGGCTATTCCCTGGTAGAGGTAGCGATTACGATGATTTCCTCTTCTTGATCAAATACTCTGTAGGGTCGAGGGATTGAGATAGATGTACATCATAGAAATTGTCTAGCATCACAGGCTGGCAAAGAGTGGCATAGAAGAAGTGGGTGGGGAGTGAGGGCGTTGAACCCACAGAATCACGGGCGGGACCTCCGAGGCCGAACAGCCGCGGTTGAGCCGAATCCGTCAATCAGTCAAGCCCGTCAATCAGTCCATTCCAATCCAGCATCAACCGAGTTAAACCTCCAACAACACTAGTTATCGGCCTGACTGACCCTGCATGCTGCAGCCTCCAACTCCCTCCTCCATTCAAACAATTTCCCTCTCACATCTGGTTCTCCATTTCCTCCCACCAATTCCCAGTCGAGTCCAGATTTCATTCGACCTTTCCCCCTCCCATTCGTGACGCGCATATCTAATCGTTCTATCTGTCTCTGCCTTCGGCCTCCGAAATCCGGGGAAGCTTTCCCTTGCAATTCCACTCGCGCGACCAGACCACTCTCTCCCCTCGCGGCTTCTCTTTCCCCCCCAGCCCAGAGGAAATAGCACAACAACCAAATACCTTCGAGGACATTTGCTCTGAATCGGACTGTCTCGCGGAAGCCCCCCCCCCATTCATGCGGTACCCCCTTGCTACGACCACCGCGCCCACGACGACCGACTCCGCCTTCGCCTCCGCCTCCGCCTCCGCATCCACCACCACCACTGCTCTCATGAAGCCACCCTCGACCAGACTACAATCGGGTTCCAGTTCGTTGTTGCCGTTGCTGTTGCGCGTTGAATCATGTCGGACTCAGTGGGTGCGTTTGTCCCCCAAAGCCTACCACATTCCTTTTTCTCTGTTTGTCTGTCTTGTGGTTCCGTTATTCCTTCATTCCCTCGGAAGCTTGGATGCCGTCTCGCCCACCGACATCATCTGAGGTCGGAGAGATTTCTCTTGCGCGGAATACATATTTCAGGACCACCACCGATGCATCGCAGAAGCTGATTTACTATTATGAGCGGAAATTAGACCGCGTCTTCGTCCACGCCCTCAACACAGTCAAACGGATTCCGCGGACGGGGACGGCGCGTCCGCCCGCCTCGGAGCGCTTGAAGTTGTATGGCTTGTATAAGCAGAGTATGGGTATGTTTCTTTCTTATCCCTTCCGGACAGCTACGTGGTGGAGCTGATGCTAATCTTTGATGGCTATGTTCTTTAGAAGGTGACGTCGAAGGTGTCATGGATCGACCGGTGGGGAATACCCCGGATGTTTTTATGGAGTGTGAGAAGTGGTAGGTTGATTCTTCGCCGTTGTTTTCCTTGGGCAATTGGTTGTTCGCATTTTAGGGGGGGCAGGGGGGCAGGGGGCTTGGGAATGCGTTTTGGGGTGGATGGATCGAGGTTTCTTTGGCTAAGGTTTTCTGGCGACTTGCTTGCTAATGCTGATTCGATATGGGATAGGGATACGTGGTACGCCCAGCGCGGTCTCTCCCGCACCGAAGCCAAACGCCGGTACATCTCCACGCTGATCGAGACGATGCATCAGTATGCGTCGCAGACGGCCGAGGCCCGCGAGCTGGTCGCCGAGTTGGAGTTTGTCTGGGATCAGATTAAGTCGAATACCGCTTCGTTGGAGTCGTCGGAGTCCGGCTCGGAGGCGCTTCTGAGGAGCCAGGGGTTGGCCGCCGATTTCCGGTCACATCGTGGGTCGGCGGGGGAGAGTGGTGGTGGTGCTTCGGCGTCGGGGCGACGCTTGTCGCGCGAGGAGTATGCGCGGTGGCTTCTTGCTACGTCGATGGGGGAGGGCGAAACGGCGGCGGCGGCCTCGTCTCGACATGGTGGGCGCGGACGTATTCGCGAGGAGGGCTCGGGGCTGAGGGTGATGAGTCCCGTGAGTCAGCCGAGTCAGCCGGGGGCGTATGCTCGGTCGCGTTCCAAGGGATATGGCGATGATGAGGTAGATCATCATGATCATGATGCGGATGAGGAGGAGGAGGATGAGGAAGAGGTGTACGCGGAGGCTCAGGATAATCTCTATGAAGAAGACGATGATGACGACGACGACGCGGAGGCGAACGACTACCGACCACAACCCCATCCTCACGAAGCAGTAGAACCCCCCGATCCCCCGTCCAGAGGGAGGCCACGCCGGCCGCCGCCCCCTCCCACACCGGCATCCTGGCGTCGCCGCGTCGAGCAGGCCTTGACGACGATGACGGCCGAGATCGCCGCCGTGCGCGAGCAGATGGAGGCGCGCGCGCGGGCCCAGCGCCGCCGCTCGGGCGTCTGGGCCTGGGTCCGCTGGTTCCTGTGGGTGTGTTTCCGGCAGGCGATGGTGGATCTGGCCATCCTGGGGGTCCTGTGGGTGTGGATGCGCCTCCGCGGGGACCGGCGGCTGGAAGTCGTACTCAAGGTCGGGTGGGCGGAGGTGAAGAGTCGATTGGCGAGGACGAGGCTCTGGCGGAGGAAGAGGATCCCTCGAGGCGATTCTTGATTTCTCCCTCCCTCTCTTTCGCTCTTGTTGTTAGATGCTGGGCTCTCTGTGGTCTCCGATGTTCTCGTATATATTATACACTTCATTTTTTTTTCTTTTGAGCATGTATGCATGCGTGGACATCTTGACGATGAACATGCTTTGTTTTCATGTCTTGCTGGTTCATTCTCCATCGAGATTTCCTTTTGTCACGAGAGTCAGTGTACTGTACACTAAACCACAATGTTATCATGTAACATCTGGACAGGATCACCACGCCCCCCCCCGCCCGGATTACACACAGACCAAAAAAAGAGAGGGATCTTCTTCTGATACCAAATGAATATTCCTGATGCTAATATATACACACACACACATACACACACGAGAGCCATTTCGATCAGAAATCATGGGCGAAACACCTCGAACAAAGACCAAAGAAAATTGGGAAAACAAGACCGCACGGCCATAAAAAAAATCAGACGTCGAACCCCACCAATTAGTTCTTGTCCAGGATGGGTGTCCCATCCTCGTTCGCTTGCCACTGCCGGCCGGGATAGCGGGAGAAGATTTGTTGTGGGCGCAGGTGCACGGGGGTTTGATCTTCGGGGGCACCGGGGATGGTTTTCTTGAGGCCCTGTTTTGTCGCTCGTTAGTACCGGTTCGTTACCCACCCCGTGGGGTTTGAGGGCTTGGAGGAACAAGAAACAAGGACAAGCAGAAGCGTCAAGGAGGGGAAGGGGGAAAACGAACCAACTTGTCGAACACGCAGGCGTTCAGGTTCACCTCGGCCTTACGGCAATCGAAGAGACGGTGGTTGTTCTGCTCGAGGCACTCCCAGTGGGCGGTGAATTGCTTGAGGCAGTGGGTGTTGATATCCTTGATCCTGTTTCCGGCCGCGTTAGTTATAGCTATTATTTCCTTTCCTTTGCTTTTGCTGTTCCAGAAAGAGGGGACCAATTGAGCCGTATTTTCGCTCGCTCCCCCCAGACACAAAAACAAGCAAGCTCAATTGAGAGGAGAGAAAGGGTCCACCGTACACACTCGCGGCGCAGCGCGTCACCTTCCGCCCTTCCTTCAGACACTCCAGCTCGCCCCGGCCGTTGGCCTCGGCCTTGCACTTCATGAAGTCGTCGTTGTAGGCCCGGCACCGGTCGCCGATGAAGTAGGCGGCGCTGAACAGCGGGGCGGACGTCGCGCCGATCTCCTCCACCTTGGGGATGTGGTCGGGCATCGGCGTGGTGTCGACCAGCACCTGTTGGGAGAATCTGCCATGTTTTTGGTTCTTAGCTTCGGCTCAGGACTCTCAGAGATTGGAAGGAGTGGAAGGGGTGTTTGGGGGGTTCAATTGAGGGCATTGGTGGTTGCGAGGGTGGGTATATGTAGGTGTTGGTGGATTTGGGGATCATGGAGGTATTCGGATGTAGAGAGACAAGGCGGCTGCAGTAGTTGGTAGAGGCGGAAGAGAGGGGGGATGTATACCTGGACTCGCGGCGGGCCATGGTGACGGTTGTTTCGGTGGTGGTTCCGGAGAGAGTAGCTCAATTGCGATTGGGGAGGGTGGGAGGCAATTCCGGAGGAAGAGGAGAGGAGGAGGAGGGCGGTTTTGGTGCGGGCAGTACAAGGTCGACGACGATGAGTTGAAGCTGCGGCGGAGAGGTTTGGGAGGTCGGTTTTTGCTGAGTGTTGATTGGTTGCGGGAGGCTGGATTAGGTAATGCAGATATTGAGCGCCTAAGGCAGGACTGAGGTGCGGGCATCGTGGCCTTAGATCACTTTAGTGCCTCAGGCAATAACAGGTCCCGGCGTGAGCTGACTGCACGTGACCTGCGAAAAACAAAGCGGTTGCCCCGAACAAAAGCGCTTCGAGTCGCAGCTCTCCGCATCGCCGTTGCTGTTCGTGATTGTTCCGGTCTCGAGGTTTGCTGTGCTGGTCCTGGTCTCTTCTTGAGATTGTTGTTTCACAGGACACTAGTCTGGCTCAAGGGTCTTGCAGCTGTCAATTCGTCAATCGCTGAGCTGTCCCATTGCTTTTCTGCTTGATATCAGCTCGGAGCTTAGATTCACTCTCCTCAACTTCACCTCAACCGGCCGAGACCCCTTCCTCTCCCAAACACAACCACACATCATGTCCCTCTTCGGTCAAACACCTTTTCAACCTTCGGGTGGGAATTCCCTCTTCGGTAACCCCAGCACGGACTCGAAACCCAACCCCTTCGGCGCCAATGCTCAACAAGGCCCCGGCGGCGGTATGTTTGGCAACGCAGGAACTGGCGCTGCTACGACAGGGACCGGCGGTGGTCTCTTTGGACAAAACACAGCAGCCGGTACCCAGCAACAACCGAATACGGGCGGCTTGTTCGGCGCCACGAACACCAACGCGCAGTCATCGACCACAGGCGGCGGCCTCTTTGGCAACACAAATGCAACCCAGCAAAAACCTGCGTTCGGCGCATTGCCCCAACAACCCCAGACGCAGCCCGCGTCAGGACTAGGAGGCGGAGGTCTGTTCGGAGGATTGGGTCAGAAGCCTCAGGGCACCGGTCTCTTTGGCCAGCAGGCGCAACCGCAGCAGCAGCAACAGCAGCCAGGGTTGTTCGGTGGCTCTCTGCTGGGTCAACAACAGCAACAGGTACCAGGAATGCCGGCAGGACAGATGGGGTCGACATTGCAATTCGGACAGTCCAATGCACAGCAGCAATCGCAATTGGGGTCGAGTCTTTGGGAGCCCGGACGGGCCGTTACGGGAGGTTGGTGCTGCATCTCGACTATGATGTCTTTCAAAATGTACTAACTATCTTTCCCCCTTCGCACAAGTCCACCGCACCGTTCCCATGCAGATTCAAATTGTCAAGGATAAATGGGACCCCAACAACCGCGCGTCCCCGTTCCGCACCTACCTGTACAACAACGTCGGCGAAGACGCGGCGCCCTTCTACCAGCCGGGACATGGAGATGACGAGGCAAAATGGGAGGATGCGCTCCGCAAGCGACCCGAACCGGGCTATGTACCGGTCCTGGTGCAGGGATTCTTTGATCTCGGCAAGCGCGCGCAGCGCCAGAAGGACTTCCTCACCATGCTGCAGACCCGGATGCACGAGATCAACAACTGCCTGACCGAGCTCCTGTCGCGACATGACCTCAAGATCAGCGTGCGCATCGCCGACTGTCGGCGGAAACACCTCGTTCTCAGCAAGCGGTGCCTGACGCTGGCGGCCAAGACCCAGGTGCTGCGCAACCGCGGCTACGCGATGGACGATGCCGAGGAGGAGCTGCGGAAGAAGCTGACGCAGCTGGAGCGGTCGGTCTTCGACCCGTCGATAAACGGCCGCGGGGAGGAGATCTGGGCGCGCATGCTGGCCATCCGGGAGCATTCGCGGCGGTTGCAGCAGGAGATGGAGCGGGCGGGACCCAAGGCCACAGCCCAGGCGGAGGATGAGTTGGATGAGCAGACATTGAAGACGGCGAAGAAGGTAAGCAGGCACCTTCCCCGTCCAACCGGATGGAGTTTCATTGCTAACAAATGGCGCGGTAGATATTGGACGATTACCACGTGCAGATCCAGCACCTACAGAAGGAGCTGGAGTCGGTGAAGAAGGATTTCGAAGAGTCGCAGAAGCTCCCCGGCGGCGGGGCTCATTTAATGTAGTGTTTATCATTCTCATGCCTTTCCCATTTGAGTTCAATCTATTACGAATCGGGGTGTGCTTTCTACTTACTATTGCTTTCTTTGCTGGGTTTGATTGGGGAGGGAAAGCAATTGACCGGAGTTTTCGAGGAGCTGGTATCCGCAACATCGCCCGCGCGCATTCGCGCCAGGGATCCTTTCTTATCATTAAGCGCAAACTCAAGACGAGGGAGAAACATACGCAAGATATTCTCTTTCTAGGTGGAAATAAAAAAACCGGGGCTCCCTCCAATGGATCTAGTATACATAAAAAAATGGGTTTCATGTCCACCACTGCCCTTGTATCCAGTACCACAGTCTTCTAGTCCGGTAGAAGGAGGACATTCGGGTTCATCGAGCCGGATGGATGATCATCGAACGAGTGCTGCACGATTTACAGGAACTTCTTGACGAAATCGACGGCGAAGGGAGCTGCAGTAGCGAGATCTCACGGTTAGCTTTGGATGGATTGGTCGGAAAGAGACACGGCGAGAGAGCGGGAAACATCATACAGAGGTAGAGGAGGACACCGCCGGTGATGGCCATGCGGACGGTCTGGTTGGCCTGGGCCTCACCAGCCTGTTGTTGGTTGTTAGCTCTGCTGTTCATCCTTTGGACCGGGGGGCCTGTGTAGCAAGGCCATGGCCCTGGGCATGCATAGATCATAGCGGTCGTCGGGCAATGAGAAATACCTTGATGTCCTCTCTGGAGAGCTGTTCCTGACCTGAAAGGATGCGGTGTTAGTGAATGCTCTAATTGCTCAAAAGAAGGGGTAAGACCTACCGGGAGCGAACATTGTGAGAGATGATGTGTATGAAAAGTGAGAGAAAAAGTGGATTGAAGAGTTGTATACTGGCAGATGGAAGGCTAGTTTCTTAAGTGTATGTCTCTATCAGCTTGACCACCCCGAAGGAAAAGAGATTCTGCCGAGCACGGACCACCTGCGGAGGCGGAACGGATTCCTCCAGCCCATCCTTTACTTGCCTTTGCGGCGCCAGTCTCTTTTCTTGGAGTTCCATCCATTTCGTTTCCTCCTTTAATCGTCATCTGTCTGTCATTTTCCGGAACTATTTACAGGATTACTCACAAGGGGGAAAGCTTGAGTCAGGAGAGAGTCCTTTCTTTCTTTACGATACTTGTGTTAGGCTTGAGACTACCACCACCACCACCACCACCATCAACTCCTCCACCAACAACTCCTCCTCCACCAACAACTACACCAGACATCCACATCTCCCTGAAACCAGCAACCAACACAACACCACCTATCCAGTCCCCAGGACACCCCCAATCACACAAACACACAACCACAGACTCTGTCAAGATGTCCGCACCCAACAGCCCCGAACAACAACGAGCCGTCTCCCCGGCCGTCGAAGATGAACCCGCCCGTGCCCCGACCCCGGACGCCGGCGCCGGCGCCGACAACAACGCCGAAGAAAGCGACCACCAACCCCGACCCCAAGACCAAGAGAATGCTGCGGCCTCGGAGCCCGAAGACGACGAAGATGACGATGACAAAGCCCACGACTCGGACGACGAGTCGATCCTGTCCGAGGTGGACGAGGCGCAGTTCGAGGACTTCGACCCGGAGAACGTCGACATCGAGGACCGCCCGCAGCTGGCCATCGACGAGGACAATCTGAAGCTGATCGGACGGCACAAGCGCAAGCGCACGGAGGGGGCCGAGGGGGAGCAGTCGAAGCGGAAGCGCGAGGGCCGGCGCGAGAAGAAGAGCCGTCGGATGCGCGAGCTGGAGGAAGGCGGCGGGGCCAGCGACGAGGAAGGCGGCGCGGGCAAGGCCGGGCGGAGACGGACGGGCGCGTCGAAGAAGAAGGAGGTCTTGCCGGAGGATGATGAGACCTTGGATCCTGCTACGCGTGAGTTGTGGTCCCCGTGGGAAGAAAAAGGAGAATGTTGGGTGAATGCTAATCTTGATTGGGGTTTGACAGGACGGAGGAGAGCGCTCGATCGTGCTATGGATGAAGCGTTGAAGAAGCCGACGAAGAGACGGTTCCGGAAGGCGGATGGCATTGTATGTTTCTTTACCCCTGGATGTTCTACGCTGTCTTTTATGAAAGGGGAAGGGCGCTCTCAACTAATGATTTACGGGGTTAGGATTTGGAACAAATGGCCGATGCTGAGATTGAAGATATGCGCAAACGCATGACCCACGCCGCACAGATGGATGCCATCAACCGCCGCGAAGGCAAGCCCGCCATGCACAAACTCAAGATGCTCCCGGAGGTCGTCTCGCTGCTGAACCGCAACCAATACGTCAACAGTCTGGTCGATCCGGAAATCAACCTGCTCGAGGCCGTCAAGTTCTTCCTGGAGCCGCTGGACGACGGCTCGCTCCCCGCCTACAACATCCAGCGCGATCTGATGACGGCGCTGGGCAAGCTGCCGATCAACAAGGAGACGTTGATCGCCAGCGGGGTCGGCAAGGTGATTGTATTCTACACGCGCAGCAAGCGACCGGAGCCAGGTATCAAGCGCATGGCCGAGCGCCTGCTGGCCGAGTGGACGCGCCCGATCCTGCAGCGCAGCGACGACTATTCCAAGCGGGTGTACCAGGAGGCTGCTTTTGATCCTACGTATGTTTTCCATCTCCCCTCTTGTCTGCAGCGCTTTCGTCGTCGATCGTCGCTCTCGATTGCTTCGATATCGCACTTTTGTATTTCCCTGCTAACTTGAACCAGTCAACTGGGCACATCTCGTCCCAAATCGGCGCAAACGTCGGTGGCGGAGGCGCGCGCGCGCGAAATGCTGCCGCCGCGACTGGCGAACCGGGCGCGCGCCGACCTCACTCACACGAGTTACACGGTGGTGCCGCGCCCGACGATGGTACAGGAGAGCAAGTTCGCGCGACCCTTGGGCGCCAGCGGCGAGGATCGATTCCGGAAGATGCGGGCGCGACAGATTGCGGCGTCCAAGGGATCCCGGCGATAGCGGGGGGTTGTTGGAATGTAGCTTTAGTTGCATATGTTTTTTATCTTTGCTTCGTATTCGATTTATTTACGGACGGGAAAGGCGCAGGAAATTGGGAATGAATTGTAATCATTTAATTTAAAGCTTACGGAGTATGTGACTAGTGAGGAGAGGCGAGGAGACGAAGGAGACGAAGGAGAAGGGAAAGGGAAAAAAGTCTGACCAGACATGCGATTGATTGATCAGCCCATAAGGCTAGATTAGACTAGACCGTGGACGATGGACAACAAATCAATCTGTTCCTACAACACCCGGTATACGGGGAATGAGGGGGCGTAATCTCGCACGAGAAAAGAACGAGAATTGCATGTATGAGTAACAACCTTAGCCACCGGGGCATCAGGAAAAGCACGAGTAATCGCCGATTCGGCAGGAAAGTTCCGAAGTGATACTATGGATGGATAGCACTGAGCAACTGGGCCAGCCACCCTATGAGAGAGGGTGAAATTCCCTCATGATGACTTGACGCTGAAGGGAACCAGCAAAGGCCGCGGAAACACCGAGTCAGAGCCGCAGATCCCGTTGCGGGTTCGCAAGACGTCACTCGGGTTTTGCTTTGCCGGGCGACTTTTTGCTCGCCTTGCGCCTTATATCCCGCCTGCTTCCTACATCTTGCGTCTTCGCTTCTACATTCTACAATTCCTACTGCACTACTGCACTACTGCACCCACTCACTGCACATATTATTGTGTTGGTGTGCGCCATCCAATTGAGAGAACACAATCCCCATCCACATTACTCACCCTCAAACGAACACAATCGCACAATGAAGATCCTCACCAAGGAAGAAGAAGATGCTCACTACCGGTAAGCTTCCCCCCTTTTCCCTTCAATTCAATCCCCCAACCCCTCCAAAAAATCTCCCACCCCCCAACTCCCCCCCCCAAATTCTCACCACCACTAACACCCCCGGTCCTCCAGCTCCGTCCTAAAAGGCGGCACCATCGGCGGTGTGCTGGGCCTGATCGGCGGCGTGGCGGGCGTGCTGGCGTTCAGCAAGCGCAGCGCGACGATCCGGAACCTGACGCTGCCGATGAAGTCGTTCCTGGTGACGTCGTCGGGCACGTTCGTGGGCATCATCGCGGCGGACCACGCGTCGCGCGACTTCGAGGCCTCGCGGAACGCGAGCCAGGTGTGGTACAAGGACCGCAACGAGCGGCTGCGCCAGGAGGAGCTGGCCTCGCTCTCCACCGTGGACCGCATCACCGCCTGGGCCAAGCGCGAGAAGTACAAGATCGTCGGCGCCACCTGGGTCGCGTCCATGGTCGGCAGCTTCGCCATGGTCAACCGCAACAAGTTCCTGAGCAGCAGTCAGAAGATCGTGCAGGCGCGTGTGTACGCCCAGGGCCTGACGCTGGCGGTGCTCGTCGCCAGTGCGGCGTTTGAGATCCAGGACCAGCGGCGCGGGAAGGGGCTGTTGGATAAGGCGAAGGCCGAGAAGGAGGCGGCGAAGCAGGAGAGTAAGAGTGAGCCCGCGGGTGAGGAGACCGGGGATCTGTGGAAGGATATGGTTGCTGCGGAGGAGGAGCGGTTGAAGCGCAAGAAGCAGAGTCTCTACGAGCATGATTATCTGGAGGGACATGCCAAGGCGGAGGAGAAGAAGGGTCGGCCTGAAAAGAAGGAGGAGCAGGCCAAGGAGGAGGAGGGGGAGAAGAAGGAGTAGATGCTTTTTTTGTTTCTTGATAGACTTGGAGTGGTCTGCGGGTTTGGACCACTCTGCTTTCTTTTTTTCTTTTTACTTTTGCCTTCTTCGTCGAAAAGATTTGGGTGCGAGGTATCACGCTTTCTTAATGCATGCTCATGAGTGTCTATATCATCAATGTACAACATCTTTCTGGACTTGTGGATATACTGCTTTTGTATTCAGATGTAGGATGGACGGGTCGAGAGGTCTTTGTTCAGGGTTTAGGACTTCTCTATGCACGAGTATAACTACGGAGTTACCAACTATGGATCTTGACGATGACTCTATACTTCTGCTCGCACTCTCGATATTACAAAGGGACACAAACATGCAAAAGATGTACTCAGGAACTTGATCATGAACCAGGTCAACTCAATCTCAATCACATTAAAATACACTCGGTCCAGACTCATAGACTAATGCATCCAATCCTGAGGCAATGCCCCACATGACATCATAAGCATACACATATCACGTCAAGCACCATTAAGCACATTAAGCAATTAAGCAATTAAGCAACCGTCTTCTCGGATTCCCCGGAATTCTGCCCCACCCACTGTGACTCCTCCAGATTATTCAGCTCATCCTCCTCCTTGTCCAGCTTGAGGTTGCTGAGGTAGAACAGGTTTCCTCCGATGAACGCCAGCACCGCCACGAACCCATAGTTCCAGATCAGCAACGGGTCCGTCGACAGCGCCGTCAAGCCCTGCTGGATAGCCGAGGAGATAGCATTCATAAACAGGTACAACGATGAGACTGTTCGACAGATTAGCATGACACGAACAACTTCTTCAAAGTGGCATCGCAGCTGACCTAATGACTTCATGTTCTTCGGCGCCTTGGTGTAGGCGTACTCGTACCCCGTGATCGAGGTGAAGATCTCCGAGAACGCGATCAGCACGTACGGCACCGTCTGCACCCACACGTTGATCGGCGCCGCCTCGTCGCAGGTGCTCGGATGGTCGCCGCAGGGGCTCAGCTTGTAGATGTAGTACTGCGTCACGGCCGCCGCGATCATCGAGGCTGCTGCCAGCAGGTACCCCACGTAGATGCGCTTGATCGGCGTGAAGTTGATGCCCATCTTGCGCAGGCCCGGGTACACGAACTGGTCCATGATCGGGATGAAGATGATCAGGGCCAGCGGGTCCAGGTTGTTGATGATGTCGTTGGGCACCCCATGCAGCTGCATAGTGGCCGCCTGCGAAGTCAAGTTGTTGGTCATCTGGCCGTATGCCAGCCCTGATGATCTTTGTTAGCGGTGGTCAGGTTGAACAGAAGGCGATGAGCACTCACAATAGAGAGGGTACCATGCGAAAACCGCGCAGGCTTTGACGGCACGGCGTACTTCGTCCACCCATTGATCGTCAAAGGTCATCCAGTGAGGCTTGTTCTCTACCTGGCTGGGCTTGACGCCGTCCCAGAACTCGGTGGACTGGCATCGCTTGAAGCTGTGTTTCTGTTAGTCACGACTCCTCCAATACACAGACAAAGAGTACTCACAAAACGACAGGGTTCCAGGTCCACTGCCTCTTCAACGCAAGTCCCCACAGCTTGAATGCCTTCGCCGCGACAGACCCTGTCGGAGGTGTCACATGGTACTTGTTACGGCAGGCGAACAATACAAGGGGACAGAATCCGAACATGATGGTCGGTAGCAGGTAGGCCAGCCAGTAGCCGACGTACTTCTCAGCGTACACCATGGCCACCGATCCAATCAGCGAACCGACGTTGATCATGAAGTAGAAGTATAAGAAAATGCGGGTGATCGTCTGCGCTGGATCGACAATGACTCGCTCTCCTGTCTTGGGCTCGGTCTTGACCCAGAGCTTGGTCTCGCGGTGCTGTTCGGCAATCAGCGGTGAGATGTTCGATTTGAACCCACCCACGCCGATTCCGAAGAAGACCAGGCCGACGCAGAAACAGGCAAGGGCGCCGTTGGTATTGGTGATGACCTGGGGAATAGAGGAAATGATGATAATGATATGTCCCAGCATTGCAAAGGCGATGGCGACCTGAATCGTCTTCATCCGGCCCCAGTATTCATCGGCGATCCAAGCACCCAGAATGGGCATAACGTAGCACCAGAAGGTGTTGACTGTATAGTTATGTTAGAGGGATTGAGGGCAGCTGCCGTAGACGCAACTTACAGGTGGTTAGCGCGGTGGATGTTCGTTGACCCTGACCGAGGGCTCCGGACTGCCCACTTCCTCCAGCACCAGTATCCGAACCTGCAGGCAGAGGCTGCTGGATGAAGTTGGTATCTGAGAGGATGTTAGCAGCGCTCATGGAGACGGCCGGATGCACGTACAGACGGCAGTTGTTCCATAGTAGGAAAACCGCTCGCACAGCTCGACGAATGCAATTGTATAGGCAGTCCACTTCACTTTGCCCGCCACACGACGCAGGCTTTGCTCTTCCTCCACCGTTGGAATCTCGCGGCCATCATCATCATACCTGGTGGCAGTGATTACAGCATCCTCCTTCTCTGGTGTCTGGAGTTCTTTTTGAGGCACGTGCGCTTGGGCGACGTAGACAAGGTCGTCAGGACCGACGGGGTCGCTCATGGTGTCAGATGGTGCAGAGAATCACACCTTACAATGACAGCACAAGTGTAAAAAATTTTTTTTCTGCAGATTGAGAACAAGAGAGTGTCCGGACTGGGTTTATATGGGAAACAGATAATAAACTGAGAAGACAAGGCACTTCGCCCCCTTCTGATAAGAGTCGCCTCCCGTCTGGCGGGGCTAGCATTGGGTTCGCTCGCGTGGAGTCGACTATCGGCCGTCCATTCAGACAGACATGGGGGGAATGAAGATTGCCAAAAGTTAGCGTCAGGCTCTGGTGGGTACCGTCTTACCCCTGCTTGTTAGCATGGGGATGTCTGCTGGACAGGGAAGGTATCCCATACCTTTCCCAAGCGGCTATAGCGTCTTTCGAGAAATCGATGGCCTGTGGAGGAAAAGGGTGGAACACAGATCATTCCGTATGCAGCAGTCAGACGGAGCACGGAACTGCCTATCGAGGAAACACGAATCTCCAATAGACAAACGTCTTCATATGTAGCGTCCTTCCAGAAGCTATTTCTCCCTGATCCGCTCCCTGTTGTGGTGCATGGTATGCGAGCATTCTTCGAGGTTTATGGCTCCTCGCCAACCGATCGTAGGCACCGCAGACCTCTTTGTGTGAAGTCTTTGAAGCGACATGGTTGTCCCACTGATCGCAAAAGACAGCGAATTAGGTACAACCGCTGGTCAGACAGCGGGAGAGCTCCAAAGGCGGGTTAAATCTTATGCACTCCGGAGCCCCGATGGAACATTCATGGGATAGTCTTGGCACGGCCCTCTGAGATATGCGACTGGAAGCCTAGAGTACGCAACCAGGGCCATCCGAGGTGATGGTGCCAGAATCCCCGCATTCGCAGGTTCGTTCCTGACTTCCTTGCCCAGCCACCAGCTTGCTTTGAAGCCCGGGATCAATTCAACCGGCAGCGAGATCATCCCCAATCTCAGACTAACGCATACATTGTGTGCGGTGTCGACCAGAGTATACCGGTGGACTAGTACATGCGACGGTGTATTGCAACAGCCGGACGAGTATCCACTAGGCGGAACGAAGCGAGGCTTTCCCTCCTGAACCATAAGCGAGAAGTGCAAGCAGGATGGCCAATCGGACATGACCAGCTTGTCGATGCAACGTTGACCAGCGGATGGCGTTATCCTGCAGATGAGTAGCATTGTTTCCGGTCAAAGCAGGCCGGCTTGGATAAACAGGAGAGAATGACACCATTGCGACCACTGATAATGCTATATCCGATAGGCCAACCAACGTTGACTTGACAGCGGAGGGTGGAGCCAAATTGCAGCCATGGTTGTCGAGTCCGGTCTTGGCAGTGGAGCTTGCTCCGAAGCCAATTTGGAGCGGTTGGCCCAGAAGATTAGAGATAAATCTCTCCGTACCAATTGGTCACCAAACAAGTTCGTGCTGCAACTGATAAGCATCCTTGAAAATCAGGATGAGGCACGCCTGATCACACTCATGGCGAAAGAGCTGAGATAGCAGGCTCCGGTAGAGTCGCCTCAATGGTAACCGAAGGAATACCGCGCCGTCACGTAGTTCCAGGCAACGATGCTTTGTACTGCGCGTCCAGAGTCAGGCGAACGTCTGCCACCACGGAAAGTTCCGAGGCTCTTACGTACTGCGAATATGTCACCATCAGGTACCATCTTCTAGTCATTCCTGCAACCGCGTACATAAGTCAATCACGTGCGGGCGATATTGTCGTGAGCAAGCATCGAGGCTCTGACGGGACTAAACAGAATCACTTCTTGAACATGTTTCCAGGGGAAACAAGCTCTATTTTAACAGTTTCCAGAAGCCCATGAGCTGCATCCGCGACCAAGCCTTTTTTACCTCTGTAGGATTGCGGGGACGACAGCTCGTCATTCAACGGCTTCACAATTGGATATTCTACTCCGGCGTAAATCAATCGTTATCACCACAATATGCGCCGATGTCGGACATAAATAAGCTAGGGGTGCATAATGAACGCCATGGAGCGCGGTACTCACTACTATTCGTCATGATCATGCACCGGTTGGGCCCGTTGAGTCGTAGGGCGTGACCTTTCCTGTTGCTGTTTAGATCGCCGGCTTGGTCCATATACGTGCGATGGAGGTATGATTGAGATAGCAGGAAAAATGCGGTACACCGGTGAAATTTCACGAGCTTCTCAGAACAGAACGTGCTGCTCAACTCAATTGTCGGCTGAGATGAGATTGTGCAATATTCGGATTGGTCCTCTTCGGCGGCTTGCATTCCCTCCACCATAGTCCCACCAATAAGCGGCTGGATCGATATGCAGCTCCGGCTGACGGGCTGACACTAACATAAGACAACTTCGCGACTTCGACGATTCGCAAGGCGAGTCAATAATAACATGGTTTAGTGACCAACGAAGAATGACCGTGCCTCCGATCACTGCATTTCTCCAACTGGATGAAGACCGAACAGCCCAACTGATGCAAGCCGCCCAACGCGGCTTGCTCAGTGAGGTACGGTATTTGCTCTATGGAGTCTCTCCGGATGTACGAGATCACACTGGTCGCACTGCCTTCTCCTGGGCGGCATCCTTTGACCTGGCGCAGGCGAAAACGGCTACTGATCGCGATCGTCCGGGTCAATTGATGCAATTGCTTCTCGACCGTGGAGCCGATCCTAACCTTGCGGACCTGCACGGCGAGACCGCTTTGCATTGGGTCGTGAAGGCCGGTGACGAGCAGATGGTGGAGCTTCTCCTGCAAAAGGGCGTGCTGTCAGAGGTGGCCGACCTGCGGGGCCGCACACCGTTGTCGCGGGCCGCCGAACGGGGCCATGACCGGATCGTCGCGCTCCTCCTTGACAAGGGTAAAGCAGACCCGGATAGCAAAGATGGGCGAGGGCGGACCGCGCTCTCCTGGGCGGCCGAGAATTGGCATCTCAAAGCCGCGAGCTTGTTGGTCGATCGTGGAGCCAGTGGAGACATTCAAGACCACGAGGGACAGATCCCTCTGTGGTGGTTGGTTAGTAACACGGCCAGAAGAAGTATGCTAGCGCATGGGGTCATATCACCCGACGTTGATTTTCAGAAGTGGCTGACCGTGCTCGGGCCTGGCCCTGGAATTGAGCCCATGACAAAAGCCCGACGCACGTTCCTGGCATGGGCAAGCGAGCGTGGTGATCGAGAACTGGTCCACCATCTCTTAAGAACCACATGGGCAGACCCTAATTCAATTGATCGTTATCGCAAAACACCCCTCATTTATGCATTGGAATGGAGCCACTATGAAGTGGCCGATACGCTTATGCTGGGCGTTGGGGATGATGTAGACCGAAAGAAGGACGTTGTGTCTTTGCCTGTGATGATTCAAGAAGGTCGTGCGCGACTACTGAAACCTTTCCTCGAACGGTACAAGCCCAGTCTAGAAGGAGAGGACGAGTACAGCTCAATTCCCTTGATGAGGATGGCACTCCAGCAGGCCGATAGACCCACCGTGGCTGCTCTCTTGGAGCACAAAGCTCGCATCGACGAATTGGAGAACGGGGACTGGTTCGGCCCTTGTAGTGAAGGGAAACCGACTGTGAACCTGATGCCGTCACGCAATCTTCCCACCCAAGGCCAACATTCGATCCCGGTGATGGACATGACTATCCCAGAAGGTGATCGGGCAGGCCTGATTGCCTTGATGAATCATCGGCTGAACATGCTGGATCTCGACGAGGGTTTGAACTTCGGGGCATATAGCCGCGGAATCAAGCCCAGTGTAGTTGTTGATCTTGTGGCTCTGCGGGACGGACGCAGAAAGGCCCGGTGGTTAACAGCCGATGTATTGCAGAAAGAGATCAAAGCATTGCCCAAGACAGTCGACGAAACCCATCTGATGTAGGTCATTCGTATCCAGTCACTGTTATGTGTCTCTGTTTTTGACTATTAAGCACAGGCTCTTCCGAGAGAACTATGTCTGGGAAACGTATTGCCCACTGACAGAAACGCCCAATGAGATGAACTTCTCTCTGGGACATAAAAGTCCCTGCAGGACATTCACACTGTTTATTCGACTGGATATAAAGATAGGGGACTTGCTCACAGATGACGATGCCGAGAAGGGCACGGTCCGAATTGTCGAATGGGCAATGCTGGAGGCACCACCGAAAGCAATTCACTACTATAGCAATCTGCCTTATGGTTGGATTCCACAGAATGATCTTGAACTAGTGCAACTGTTCATGCAGACTTGGCGAGAGGACTGGTTGATGATCTGCCGAGAGGCCAGGAGGTATCTCGGACGACTGGTAAGCTTTGTCAATACGCTCGATGGCGGCTGGTACTGATGACCGCAGCGCACGCATCAGTTGTCTGCGCGGGGAAAAGATGATCGACTCATTGATTCCATAGCCAAGCACATGCAGCGATGGACTCACGTTCAGGGATTGCTGGCGGAGCAGCTAAGCCAAGTCCGAGACTTTGTCACCCAGTATCAGCGGTTCAGCGAGACGCGCAAATTCACCGAGCAGATGCAGGATATGATCTCCGAGCTCGAACGGGATATATCAGGACAGATCGATAAGCTGGAGCAGACGGTCCGCGACCTGCTTCAGATTGTGAGAAACTCCAGTCTCATCTTCGCTGTATTGTCCGCTGATATGTACAGGAATTTGCATGGGTGTCGATTAACGAAGCACATCGATCGACTAGTTTGGCAACTAGTATGAAACGACTTAGTTGGATCACGGTAGGATGTCATCTGCAGAGGACCTATATAGCACTGACGAGCTGTATCTTCGCAGTTTATCTTTCTTCCTTTGACTTTCGCCTCTGTGAGCATTCCCTCTGTGGCAGTGCAGAACAGTTTACTCACCTTGTCTAGAGCTTATTCGGTATGAATGTGGATATCCTGGAAGATAACCCATCCTGGCGTTGGTACCCTCTTATTGGGGGCATGCTACTGCTCCTGTCTGTCGCCAGCTGGGTGTTTTTCAAGTTCATCAATGTGAGTCTCAAGCTGGAGGTTCTCACCGAAACCACTGACCAACGACTAGGTGGAACAATGGTTGGAGCGTAGAGTCGAGGATATGGCTCGCAGAACAGGTCGCTCGAACAAGGATCCTTTGTTGGTATAATAGAGACCTATTGTATTGAAGGAAGCCCCAGGAAGAGATGAAGTTCGTTTTCAGACGTCAGCCGCGATCTGAGGTTGATGCTAAAGAGACGTAGACTAAGAAGGTTGGCTCCGCATCCTTCCCACTGCGAGCAAACAGCACAAACAGAGGTGATGGATAAGATCAATCGAGGGACCGTTGGATTCATCCATCATTCCTTCTTCCACTTCACAGCACCAGAGCCTATGATACACATGCATCAAGCGTGGTAGAACAAACACGTGCTCGTCCAAGAATCTGGCCAGTTTGTGCTTATACCACACAGACGACTTGCCCATCCAGAATCCACTTTACTTGAGCACCTTCCAATGCAATTCTTGTCATTCTACTCTAGCCATCGCTAACTGCGTCTACTCGAATGTCCAGACCAGTTTGGCTGACAGCTTTAGACAGTCCCCTTCAGGGCTTCTTCTTCTCGAAACGGTTGAAGGGAGACTTGTTTGGCACGAGCATAAGCCACATCAAATATATCGTCACCGGCGGAAGATATCCTCAATGAGAGGGCATGAGGGTCAATATCCAAACCAGTCAGAGGCAACATTCTCCGTGAAGGGAGAAGCGATCATTCAATTAAATTCTTACTTGCAGCTAGGGGAGAGACCTGAGAGCGAAAGACACAATCACTCTCCAGTCATCGAAGGAAGACTGCTATAACCTACACGGACAAATCAGGGAATTTGGAGACATGATCCGAGACTGAAGAACACCCATGAAACGCTGGAAGTGCTCAGCTACACAGATCTCAGCTTCAAACTGCCTGGATGCTTCTAATTACTGAACTTCAGCAGGCTTTGCATGACAACAACACTTCGAAGAACATATTAAAGAACGCATCGAAGAACACACTGAAGAAGGCATTGGAGCTCCTCATGCCAGTCTAAATGACCGAGGATCTGCTGCTTACGGACGGGTGGCAGCGTGCATTGGCACTAAACACGCTCGAGGAAGCCGATACAGACGAAAGCATGAATATCTGACGGATTGATAGCCTGTATACAGATGACTTGACTGTTTTCAACCTGCTTCACGCACAACGTTTAATATTAAGATCATTCCGCAGCCTGTGATGATCAAGTGGTCTGCCTGCTCTTGCACTATTTGACCGCCGGGCAATCTGAACATATAACATGATCACACACCGCACATCGTGGCTGGGTGTCATGCTTCGGGCCATCATCACATTGGCACTACACCATAAATCAGCTCGCTTCGAATAATAAGTTGATGTGTGCGGGATTGTTCTTCAGAACATACGCAGAAATACAAGTAAGGGCTTGTCACCATAAGCGATAAGCTGCTGATCCACCTGATTAGTTGACGCTAGTCGTGGAACAATGGTTGGGAAATTTGAGTTCCTCTGTCGCTGAGGTGATGCAAGGCTAGCAGCCATCGTAATCCTAGAGTCTTCACACATAGCGATAGGTGGCATTGCAAGAAGTACAAAGTTTGAGAGAAGGCATAGAAGAGGGACAAGTCGAGTCTTTTGTGTGAGCGGTAATGCGGGGGAATGAGCCGATTACCTACAAGCTCCGCATCACCTTACTCGACCAAACCTCTCAACCTATCTCTAGGCCAGATCAAAGACTTCAACATTCAAGTCACAACAGAAGCAGGCTATGCTAGCCCACGATAACTATAGACCTGCATAGGTTTGCACTTCATCGATCGAGATGGCAGCTGCCCAGCCTCTTTTGGATGAAGTACATGAGGGACTACCAGTGAGGCCGGCTGACACCAATCTCCATACGCTTGGATCGATCAGCAACCATAACGTTGTTCTCATTTGCTTGTCAAGTTGCATGTACGGTATAGCCTCCGCAGCCGTAAAATCAATCGGCTGCTGACTAGTACCTAGCTTCTGCTCGGTTCAGTTTGTGTTGATGGTCGGCATTGGGGGAGGGACAAGGAACAGAAAGCGATGGGGATGTACCAGCGAGCACATGCAGGCTACGAGAGAAACCTGAGTCACGATCACGTCAAGACTCGCGAGACGGCGGAGACGATAAGCCTTCTATCCTCGTTATCAAGGCCCAGCAAGCGGAAAGTGATGATTGAGTTCTTCCGTGGACGTATATGATAGCCCTATCTGGTCTCCTTCTAGCTCTTACTATGGACGAGTTTCACGACAGTTCTCAGCCCCATGAATATTGCCGCACTTTCGGTCCACCGAGATGATGTGCAGATGATATCCAAGCTTGGTTTGATCCTCTATAACCCACTGTCTCTGGGAGAATCAGACATGTTCGACCGATTGGGCCGATAGGAAGGCGCTGATGAGGGGGCTATGAGCGCAACAGACCGCAACAACTGGCCAAAGGGACTTCAGACCACGCATGAATCGCAAGGGGTGCCAGTTTTCTCGAGCATGTATAGTATGTGTGCACACACGGGCAACCATTACCCAGCATACCCACGCGCAAATCCTAAACAGTCCGCACTGGAGCTTAGCCCCCATTCCCTCAGGCACCCAAAACATACCCCTCGGTCCCCTCATCCTCCCTCTCCACCCGAATCTCATTCCACTCTACCCCCTCCAGCACGGCGACCCGAACCGGAACGACATCCAAGTTCCGCCTGACCAGCTCCTGCTTCTCGGGCGACAGCCTCGCCACCACCGCCGACGGGGGTCCATGCAGATGCATGTAGAGCTGCACGCCGCAGACGCCGCAGAAGCGATGGCCGGTGAATTGCCGGCCAAAGCGATACTCCCGGAGCTGGGTGCGGGGATCCTCAATCGCCACGGCGGACTTGGCCGGGTAGATGCAGACATTCGCGTTCTTGGACTCGTCAATTCTAGCAAAATCAATCGAGTGGGGGGGGGGGGGGGGGGATGACTAACCCGTTGGCAGATACTGCAGTTATCCTCCTTGACTTGGACGCGGCGGAGAGGCGGGCTCGTCACGGTGAGCTGGATCGCACCGCAATGACAGCCTCCCTGGTATACCTTCAAGGCGTCCGGGGTGGTCGGTTGCGGTTCGGTGACGGGCGATGGTTGCGGTTCTTCGGGAGCGGGTGGCAATCTGCGCCCGAGCTTGGATTTAAGCATGGTTTATACACTGTTCTGTTGAGGAATTGGCGCCTTACGTGGTCACGGAGAGATGGAACGGATTCACGTCCAGCAATGCTCGTGCCTACCAGGGGATCGACTTAGCGATACTTAAACATACTGACAGTTTGCAGATTGCAGGGAAAAGGATCGGACGCCTCACGCTGACACCTATACCAGCCTGGCCTGAGACGATAAGGTGGTTGCGGACCGTGAGCTGGGTGCCGCATGTAGCACAGAACTAGGACAGGTTACCAAGTAGATCAAAGAAGTCAAGTCCGTGGGGCCAAGATTGTATCCCGGCAGGTGATTCGGGGCACTGTACCTCATGCTCCCCCTTCTGCGTCTTGTATCTGGCTAGGGTATCGCGCCCCCTGGTGAACTTCAGCTCATTGTCTTCGGCGAAGATCCATGGACAGCCTGTTTTCGCACAGAGTCTACACGGACATGCGAAAGTCATCTGAAATGGTCTGGCGAGATGGATCTCGAAGCGCACGGCGCCGCAATGGCAGTTGCCTGGATATGTGGTTGGTCCATCTTGAGCCATGGTATCTGAGGATTGAGCTTCCGAGACGAGCCTGAACGAAATAGAGATTAGAGGTGAGGGGATCACGAAAGACGCAGGTGCTTTTAATTTGAATAAAGACAGTCCAATGCCTTATCAGTTTATCGCCGAGCTGAGAACCATTTATAGGACCGGTCGACCGGTCTTACATCCGACGATGACAAGGGTTCGAGTGGTGAGATGGAAGGGGGGGATCCGATCCCGGTAGATATCGCTTTGATGTGGGATGTATCTGGAACATAGAGACGGTGTAATTAGCAGAGATATATGCGCGAAGCTCAGTTCACTTGAATCTGATAGAGTCAAGGCCGAAGTCCAAGCTCTATAGCCTTTTACTTCCGATATGGATGTTGGGACTGGAGCATGTGCTCGTCGGGAACAATCGCCTACCTAATTGACTAGCGTATGTCAATCTAGTGACATACCGAACACAGTGGCTCACGTATGTACATTCAGAACAATTGTTGCGCTTGTTTTCTTCAAATTTCAAGCGTACATGCGCTACTCCCATTCACAGCGATCACACCTGCTCTCTTTTCGCTAGGTAACTGCCTACACCCCAATTTGTGAGTATGATACCCTGCACAAGTACTATTAACACGGCCTGGATCGGGCGCCATTACCCAAATATCCAGCGATGTGCTATTGTTTAACACAAATAAAATTCCGTCCAATAACTCACATCAACCCAACCTCAACCTCATGAAACAAGTCCCAGCACGGGGCACATAATCCCCAAACGCCTCACAGACCTCAAACCCCTGGCCAGCATAGAACTCCCTCGCCGCCGTAAACGAGCTGTCAGTCCCCGTCTCCAGACTCAACCACACATACCCCCTCCTCCGCGCCTCACGAATGATATGCTGTACGAGGGCGCGCGCCACACCCTTGCGGAGATGCGCCGCCGCCGTGCGCATGGACTTGATCTCGCCCGCCGTCGGGGAGAGCTCTTTGAGCGCGCCGCATCCCAGGAGATCCGGGCCGTGCCAGGCCGTATACATGGAGATGGCGGGTTGCTGGAGGGCCGTGAGGTCGAGGACGTAGCAGGACTCGGCGGGCGATTTGCGTTGGAGGTCGGCGATGTGGAGGGCCAGGAGGGCGCGGGTCTCCGGGTGGGAGAGGTCGTCGAGTTTAATGAGCATGATGGACGGAAATGCAGGAGCTGGCTGGCTTCCATGAGATGCAACAAGGGGCTTTTGTTGATGAAAGTGTGGCATGAATGGTTGATTGATAGTAAGCTTGACGGGTGAGTCATACCGCTTTTGGCGTGAGAATAAACTTTGATACTATCATGGTATAATCAACAAGAGATCTATGTTCTATTTTAGACTTTTTGTCATCTCTTATCTTCTATTTATAGTATCAGTGGATACACATATCAAGGGTACAGGCTTCAGAACAAGAAGCTTTTTGTATGTTCAGCATAGCACTACCAGTCTTAATGTCTCACACAACAACAGCAGTCTTGATCCTTGTGTTGGATTTCTCTTTGAGTTGATTTTATCTAACTCGGAATATTTCCCAGTATGGCCCTCTCTCACTTCCAAGTTCTATGGGCAACTGTCTCTCGGGTTTCACCTCGGCCAGCACAAAAGACTAGATCTAGTCTCTTCGAGAAAATGAATTGCGGAACACTATTACAGTAGAGCTGTTGAGTCTTATACCGCTGAAGATGTTGCTGTCGGAGTTTTTTTTTCTCATTCTTATTGACTTCCTGATCAAAGTTCTTTAGGGTCTCTCCGCTGAGTTCCTTAGCCGAGATACTCATGGAGAGTAATTAGGTATAAAGACACAAGATCCTCTACTCATTACCTCTGTTGTATTTATCACTGAGAAAAGTCGGTTCGAGGGAAACCCATCAACAACCGAAAGTTCTAAGACAATTGATTCTCTCCACGACAGTAGAGTCACCCCCTTCCATTGCTGGGGGTTGACCCGAAAAATTCATTATCGCATAGACCGTGTAACGCAGAGCAGCTCATGATCAATCTTTACACATAAGGATCCTCACAAGAAGGGCTCTAAGCAAAATCTTATAATTTGGAATATTCTGCCCAGCGAATCTACCCAGCGAAGCAAACGCAACGCTATAAGCATACCAAGCAACCCGTTAAATGCAGCAAATGGCCTTGAGCCTCGGCGGCCCATTGGTTATCAGTATTTTGAGCGAACACTGCCGTAGCGCACCCCGTTGAATTCCAGCTCGAACAACAGAGAAGCAGATGTAGGGATCATGACTAGATCGTAATAAACCTATAATACTCGACGCCCTTGGAATTGCACTTCTTAACAAAGAGATCCCTAGGAATCCGGCTGAGATCTGCTTCCACGGTGCATAGCCGCATGGTCTCTATGGCTGGTAAGTAAAAGACTATCGTTCACTTGTGCGACACTCACGATTGCTCACGGCTGGGGCTCTGTCACTGTCGGAGAACAAAAGGTCTTCCTTCACACACAGCCCGTGTTCTGGACTTGCTTCCAGTAGACGGTAAAATGACACTCTGACCGGTTTGTTCTCCGATACAACCGAGGACTGGACCGATTAGCCCGCTTGAGTCTCTGAATGAAGATGCCAAGGAACGGCACATGTGTGATGAATCAAATGCTGGCAGAATCAAAGCCAGTCGAGGAATTGGGCGACGAAACGGCGCCAGCGCATCCGGTGAGTGATGTTCAAACCATCCGCCTGCTCCGTCACCACGCTAAGCAAAATTCAGAATATAACACACTTTCCTTTCCGGCTCTCAAAGGAGGGTGTCAAGCGGCAAATTATAGTCAAGCAGGAAGCCGAATCCATGCATAAGATAAACACAGCAGTGCAGCTGGCGAAGCAAGAAGCAGCGGTGCGGAAGGAAGAGGCAGCAACAAGATCGTCTGTCATTCCAGGCACGTGAGGAAGCGACGGAGAGGGACGGACGCCACCGGGAAGAGCTCAATCGCTTGTACTCCAAGCTGAATGCTCTGCAGACTGGCCCGTTCAAGCTATTGGGAGAGGATCTGATCGTGAATCAGATGCGCCGGCTGATTCAACTCCTCGACAACTGGGTCAAAGTCAACTTCAAAGACGTGGCAAAGATACCACCAGAATCGCTTGAGACAGACGGGCAGCTCAACGCGCCCCAGCGACGGGCCTTGGTTCATGCCACTGTCGCCAATCTTATCCATGCTGAGATATTTGGACCCTACCACTTCTAGTTGCCTGAAAACCCTCTGGGAGATTTTCTGTCTAAGATAGAACTCAACGTCCGAGACAACTGTACGTATCTTGCGACTGGAAGTCTTGACATATATGAGTCAGTACTAAGTCTCAGCAGGTTCAGAGATCGAGCTCAATGTGTGGAGGATGGCTACAAGCGTGGCAATCCAGGCGGGCTCAGGTCGTCGATGCGAGCGTGTGATCAGCCGCATCGTCCGGGACGCTGAAAGAATACTCGCGAATTATTCTTCCACTCAAGAAGAACAAAGACAGGGCCAGCTTCAAGGACTGCTGTGGAAATGCGCGGATCTCAGGCATGCTTTGAGCCAGCAGAAACAACGGTTCTTTTTCTGCTGCAGTCCACTGGGAGTGATGTTTGACCCTCAGTCGATGATTTTTGGTGGAGGCGATGAGGGACCAGCCTCTATAGTTCGATGGTCTTTGTGGCCGGCAATCATGAAGAGGGTTGACAAGCGCAGTTCTGTTGTGGAGCCAGAATTAGTCTGGGCAATGGAGTCATGAGAAACAATTCCACTCCGATTGGGGAGTGTATTGCGTCGAACTTGCTAACGAACAGATTTGCTGGAGGTGATCCATTTTGGCAATCGCTTGCTTGGGTTGAAGTTCTATAAGCCTCGCACGCCTGCGAAAAGAATACACGGATTATTTATATACTATCCTTGAGCCCGTAGACGTTCATAGCCAGCGATAGCATCCCTTCTTGTGCAACAATTAATGCAGTGAACTGTAATATCAAGACCAACCATCACCCCCAGCCAAGCCGAAATCATACATTCTACATCGAATCCCATGAAAGAAAGCCCGAAATCTAAGTCTAACTCTATGCAAGCAACCACTCACTCCCCACCCCACTCCTCAAACAACTTCGCATCCAAGCCAGCATACCCCTCCACAACCTTCAAACCACGCAACCTCTCCTCCTCGATCCTCTCCCACGGCCAATCCTCCTCATTCCACGAATGAACATTCCTCTCCCTCTGCTCCTCCTTCGCCGCTTCATCACCATCCCCAGCATCCAGCAACACCTCCCTCACGACCGCCGCATCCACCCCCGTGGCTGTGGCCGTAATCCCCTCATCCAACAACTGCCCCTCCTCACTCCCACTCCCACTCCCACTCCCACTCCCACTCCCACTCTCCCCCGGCGTCAAGCTCCCAGAACCCACCGACCCCACCGGCCTCTCCGGCAAGAACCCACTCGCCCTCAGCACCCTCTCAGGGGGCACCGTCACCCGTCCCTTCTTAACCACATACTTACTCAGTGCGGTAGCCAACAACCTCCCCTTCTTTCCGGCCTGGGGCCTCACAAAATAACTAATCATATACACCCACTTCTCATCCCAACCGATCACCCTCGAGGTAATCTCATAGCGCTCGAAGGGCTTGATCTCGCGCTTGAAGCTGCAGAACACGCTGCCCAGGGCGATGTACAGCCCGAGTTTGCTTCCGCCTTTGGGGGGCTGCTTCTTCTCCTTCCCGTCGGATGATGCTGATGATGCTGAAGACGCCGCCGCGGCCTCGGCGTCGAGGTCGCGGTTCACGATGCGCGACCCCGGGGTGAAGATGCGGGTAGCCAGGGCGGTGCGCGCGATGTCCAGGTCGGAGAAGTAGGTGCTGTTGGACTTGTGGAAGTTGTAGTCGGTTTCCAGGATCGGGGTGCGCGAGCTGATGGTCAGCGGGAGGAAGATCGGGTGCGTCGCGTGCGGCGGCGGGTGCGTGGAGGCTGGGTGGTGCGGGTCTTGCGGGGTGCGCCGGATGTTGCGGTAGAGGTGGTGGGCGAGGCGGGCCTGTTATATAAGAGGTTGGGGTTAGTATGCTGGCTTTTTTTTGTGAGGGTGATGGAGAGGTTGTTGTGGTGGTTGGTTGATTGAAGGCGATGTTGTTTGTAGACTGCGCTGCGCTGCGAGGATGAGGGGGAAAGAGTGCATGCATGCACTTACATGCCAGACCAGAGGAAGATTCTTCAAATTGATCAGTGCAAGAAACAGGGCTAGTGCCTTCCAGGTGAGAAGAGATGAGATGCATTCCTGGAGGAGGTGGGAAAGAGTGGACAGGGAAGCCATGTTGACGGTAGTCGATTATCGCTAGCTAGCTAGCTATGCTATAGATCCCAGGTACCATCAATGAGAAAAAACAAGCTAGCGTTAAGGCGTCTCAGGAAGACAGGCGAAACTAACGACAATGCCGCCTGTGTGAAGAGAAAGAATGACAGTCGAAACCCTGCCGCCGCGAAAAAACAGGTGCTCGTTCCCCTGAGAGATGCGATTCCCAAAAATGAGACGCGATGGAGATAACGTGTTAAGCCGAGGCACGTGGAGGTTTGATTGTGCTTATCTCATCCAGCCATCCATCTACCATCGACCAACTCATTATAACCATAAAAAACATAACAGCTTCATCTTCAGCTTCAACCTCAAGCTCAAATCCAACCTAAATCCAACCTCTCCACTCAAAAAATAGCCATACAATTCGGCGGACTCGACACGCCCTGCGCACAATTCAATGGACTACTCGAGACAAAGAAGGTCCACCGCCCGAGCCGCCGACACATCTCGGCGAGCCCATCGAGGTCGAACATCTCGCCGATGGGCAGCCCCCACCCGGCCAGGAGGTAGTGATGGAGGTCCCACTCCGGCCGGAGCGGCGGGTAGACCTCGAAACTGACCGCGTCGGACGCGACGGCGGCGAAGTGGTGGTCCCAGAGGAAGCGCAGCACGCGCTCGCTCTGCTCGAGCCCCGCATGCTGCGGCGTCGGCTGCCGGCTGTACGCCGCCCTCTGCTCGTCGCCCATCGCGTCCCACGTGGCCGGCAGGCCCACGCGCAGGAAGAAGATGTCCCCGCGCTGGAACTCGATGCCGCAGTCCCGCGCGATCGCCTGCACCTCGTCCAGCGAGATCTCGTGCCGGCTGAGCGCGTCCACCGTCACCCCGCGCTGCTCCCGCGCCCAGCTGCAGTAGTCGATCAGCACCCCGCGGCCCGCGATCCCCTCCTTCGCCCAGTGGCCGATGCCGATGCGCGCGGACTTGGGGTCCAGGATCTCGGCCGCTGTCGTGCCACCGTAGAACACCTGTTCGTTCGCCCTGCCGGTCGTGGTGGTGGTGGTGGTTGATGTTGTGCGACTACTGCTGTCCTCCTCTGTGCCAGCTGGCGGCGGCGGCGGCGCACTATGGTGACGCAGTCCGTCCCATTGTGAGGATTGCTGCGGGTTGAAGTGATATTCGTCGTCAAAGGCAACGCCCTCCGCCACCCACTTCACTTTGTGTTCGAAGGGCTTACGCTTGAAGCCTGTGGGCCATGCGATGACGTAGTTAGTATGCGGCGTAAGCAGATAGTAAGGTGATTAATTCTGGGTTTCAACTCCACGAGCCAGACACTAACCCGGAGGATTCAGCTTCTCGAGGTCCCAATTCAGACACACGCGTTCGCCAGTCCGGATTTGCGTTTGGGCAGCATTGGCGACGACCTCCGGAGTCAATAGTCGTAGCATGCCCAGTCCCTCTTCGCGCGACCCCGGCGCCGCCGGCCAGTATCGTCGCTTGTCCGGCAGGTCATCGTATTTCTCTGGGATGTTGAATTCCGACATCATAGATCATAGAAGGTCATCCAAGGTTTGAGGTAGCAGATGGTATACCAACAGGGAAGTAGTTTACAATCCGAAGAAGTGCGGAGACTTGAGAATTAAATGAGGGGGCGATATTGAGAAAGGCGGGGAATCGGACTAAGTCCGGGCGAGAGCCAAGCTCTAAACATGGACTGCGCGGTGTACAGTACATAAACAGCTCTTCAAGGCTGTGATATAATATCTATTCAGACAATGACAATACACAAATAATGGAATACAAGAATGCAAATGAAATTATCCCCTCCCTCTCACAAGTCATCTTCATCCTCTTGCACACTCTGTCCTTGCTTGTTAAGACGGGACATCTCGTGCTGCTCACCTCGCCCAGCACTGCCCGGCGTCGACATAGCAATTGCCTGACGGCCTGTGTCGGACGACTCCAGGAACTCGCGCAGGCGTCTCTTGCCCTCCACCATGGCTTGGTTCGAGGCCGCCTCCGTCATTTTCATGATGGGGCCCCACAGATTAAGCTGATAAGTCACATATGCGCCCACTGCGCAAACAAACAGCAGAAAAAAGTAGGCGGGGTTGCGAAGCACTGTGGCTAATTAGCGATGATCTTTCGTACGCAACACAGAAATTGCACTTACCAGCAATGATCTCGTTCCAGCCGAGCGCGAGGAGGATACCGTAGAAATACAGCGGAACCTGCGTCATGCCCCCGATGGCACTCCGCTTGGCTTCGACATAGACTCCATCCGCCGCCTTCTTGAACCGCACCGTCAGTTCTTGGCGCTTGGCCTCGCTAAGCATCGTCATTTCCTCCTCTAGGCTCTTGCCTTCCTCCTCATCCACGCCTCCAATCGGCGGCAAGTCCTCCTCGTCCGCCGGGGTCGAAGAGCTGGGAGTGTGACCGATCCAGCGATCCAACGGAGGCGGGGCGGACGTCTCCTCGAGACGGAACCGGGCTAGAAGGGGAATAAGCGTGAGAGTCGACTCGCGAGCCCGCGTATAGATACCCTCAATGTCGTCGGTAGGGCGCCAGATCCGGGGGACACCAGCTTCGTCATAGCGGAATTTGTCCTCGAAGTTCTCGCGCAGCTTCAGCAGCAAGTTGCCCTCCAACATTTCTTCTTCAATCTTGGCCCGTAGCACGCCCCAGGACTTCCGGCGCAGCCGCCAAAGACCAACATCAACCTCCTCCAAACTGGCATCAAAGCTACTAGCGCGGTCGGTAAATCTGCGCTCGGCATCAAGGACCGTCTCAACAAACACATTCCAGACCCGGTCCCAGAACTTCTTCTCAACAGGCTTGTCCCCCTCTTCAGGTGCACCGCCGCCGGCGCGTCCAGAACCAAGCGCATTGAATTCCAGACCAACCGACTCTCCCAGACGAGACTGGACCCACCGCTCAACTCGACTGGCCAGCCGCCGCATCTCCTCCCGCCGCAACCGTGCGCTGACGTCGGCCAGCTCTTTCTCATACAGCGACAGCTGTTGCTGGTAATCGCTCCAGGCAGTTCCCTCAACAACAGTGGCGCGCGCGACCTCCTCAAACTTCTGAATTGCCTTAGACACCTCTTCATTGACAATCTCTGCGAAGTCATAGCTAGTACCCTTCTTCTGACCCGCCTTGACAGTGCCGGAGACAGCCTCAGTGAACTCATTAATACCAGTCTTGTGCATGGCATCAAGTTGACCCTGGAAGAGCGCCTTGAGGCGAGTGTCAATCTTTTCCTCCAACTCTGCCTGTTTGCGCAGGTAAACACCCTTGTGGTAGCGGCTGGCCTCGGTCTCGAAACTGCTAAACGCTTTACTGCGAGATGTTCGCATGGCGGCTCCCAAACCACCGAGGATCTCCGGCTCACCGAGACGAGCCGCTTGCGACTGCTTATCCTCAAAGGGAACAATAGCCTCGTCGAAGGCGAGCATAACCTCCCGAAGAATTTCGTCGCAGCGGAATTGCGCTAACAATTCCTGCTGGGTTGGAAGGTCCAAGTCCTTATTGTTGACAATCTGGTCCCAGATGCCCTCCGCATACTTAGAGAAACCATCGGCGGGGATTCTGCGGTGGTACTCGGGTAGGAAGACGCCACCATCGGAAAACTCGCCTTTGCGGGGATCGAGACTCGGATCTTTGTGGTCCTCACGGAAACGCAAGCTGAGCTTCTTGGTCTCGGCAACAAACTGCTCAGGCTGGTAACTCTTGTGAGGGAGGCCGTAAAACTGGAAATCGAAGTAATCGTGGACGGACGACTGCTCCAAGCCGGCGGGCTTCGAGATCGAGTCCCACAGTCGCGACATATCTTCCATCAAAGTATTCTGCAGGTTCTTCAGGGGCGTATTGCCAACGAAATCACGGATCACAAAGAACAAGAGAGATCGGTGAGTAGTGCTATATCAAACGAAGGGCAGTTAGCGCGTGTAACGGTAACCTGGTTCCAACAAAGGACACCTACTTGCGATCCTTCAAGAACAGCTGCAGATTGACCTCAAAGACCGTCTTCAGCAGTCCCATGTTTGCGCCCTGGTACAGACCGACCTGGTGCTCCCAGATATTGACAATCAAAACTTCACTGGTCGCCAGCGCAAAGAGGGCGCTCTTGCGCTCGAAGTCCTGGTCTTCGCCTCTCTCGCGACCGTCTGTACCCTCGACGTCCATCACCAGGATGTTATCCGCCATCGACTTGTCCCCGCCGTTCTTGTTCTTCGACAACCAAATACCCTTGGTCGTCTGGCGACGCTCCAGCTCGGACATAACCGAGAAATGCGTACCGAAGAGGTGGTTCAGTAGCGTGGACTTGCCCGTCGACTGGGACCCGAACACGGAAATGAGGTGATAGTTAAAACCCGCATGGGTGACATCTTCAAGACTTAGGTATTTCGATAGATTGGGACTGCAATGATTCTAGGGTTAGCCTACTGCGCCAGGTGCACGCCAGGTGGCATCGTCCCCTGACGAGAACAGCTTGGAAATCGCAAGCCCAAATGTACGTGGGATCGAACCACAGATTGCCACCCAGTCGCACTAGGGGAAGAATGGAATAGCATACTTGAACTCTTTATCGCCGTCAATCACTTGCACGCCATGCTCGTATGCAGTCTTGTCGCTGCTGCCGTTGCCAAGCGAGGCAAAATGGCCGTTGGTCGCCATGACGGAATGACTAGCGTTGGTGCGGCGCGCCAGACGATACAACTGAAGCGGGCTCTAGTCTGATGTATGACTGATTGTTTCGAGGAGTATGGGTGATAGTATGGCAAGTCGTAGTAAAGCACTACTACCAGAAGCGCAAATAGAATAGGGAACGTCAGATGCGGAGACCGTGGCGAGAGGAGGAAGTAGTAGTACAAGATGAGACGAAACGGATTGAGGGCAGGATGCAAGGTGGGAACCGACAGTAAAATGAGGTCAGAAGTCGATCACCATGGGAGACGGGGAGCACAATCACAAGGCAAGAGAAAAAGAGAGAACGCCCCGCTGATCAGAGAGGGAGGGAGTTTAGTTCATGTGTTGTTGGGAAGCGGGAAGCGTAGAGTGGCTGGAGGTCAGGAGGAGAGAGCCGGATGGGGACCCTTTCCCTCTTCTTGTTTGGTCAGTTGTCTTGTCTAGTGGACTCGTCGCCTGAGCATCCAGGCCGCCACCGCCCACCCCCCGATCCCGGTTTTTGCTGCTTTGGGTTTAGGGGTTGTCAGTGATCCTGTCCGACCCAATTTATGGAAGACGAGGAGGTGGAGCCCACATTTTCATGCCCGTGCCTTCATAATTATGGATCGTACGATAGATCATTCCTTTACATGTTCAACGTCATGTTCAAACTGACATCCCTAGGCAAAAACAAGTAGAGAAAGAAAATAATGAAAGAGAGGAGAAGGTATAACGAGTCTACAAACAATTCAAATACAATACATGATACATAGATATGTCTCGAAAACTCCGGAACTACCCACCATCACGAGTGAATCCAGTATTCCCAGATTCATTCCTTCGCTGATACCCGCGCCGCAAGGATGGTGCAAACATTATAAGAATTCCCAGACAAGATTTTGTTCATAGTACATGGTAGCCAGTCGGTCCCAGCTGTCTATTTGTCCAACACACGGGTAACCAGACCAGTGGCGACAGTGCGGCCACCCTCACGGACGTTGAAGCGCTGACCGGCCTCAGCAGCCAGGGGGCGGAGGGTCTTGACGACGACCTCAACGTTGTCACCGGGCATGATGCGGCGGGTCTGGTCACCATCGGGGAAGCTGAACTCGGCAGCCTCATCGGCAGTACGGATGTACAGCTGGGGACGGTACTGAACACCGAATCCACTGCGACGACCACCCTCAGCCTCGGTCAGGACGTACATGGAGACCATGAACTTGTCGTGGGCACGGGCGCTGCCGGGAGCGGTAACGACCATACCACGCTTGATATCCTCACGGCGGATACCACGGAGAAGGAGACCGGAGTTGTCACCAGCGCGGGACTCGTCGCAGGACTTCTTGAAGGTCTCAATGTCGGTAACCTTGGTCTTGATGACCTCGTTGGTGGTACCGACGATCTCGACTTCACTATCCTTCTTCAGAAGACCACGCTCGACACGGCCGGAAACGACGGTACCACGACCGGGGATGGAGAAGACTTCCTCAACGGACATCAAGAAAGGCTTGTCAAGGTCACGCTGGGGAGTGGGGATCCAGGTGTCGACGGCCTCGAGAAGCTGGTCGATTCTCTCGGCACCAATGTCAGGGCGACGGTCCTCGATGGCGCAGAGGGCAGAGCCGAAGATGATGGGAGTCTCCTCGCCCTCGAAACCGTAGGTGGTGAGAAGCTCGCGCATCTCCAACTCGACGAGCTCCAACATCTCCGGGTCATCGACAGCATCGACCTTGTTGACGAAGACGACAATCTTCTGGACACCGACCTGACGGGCGAGCAGCAAGTGCTCACGGGTCTGAGGCCTGCGGAAAAACGAGTATGAGTACAATTCCATGACCAGAAACCGAAGGGCAAACATACATCTGACCATCGGAAGCAGCAACGACAACGATGGCACCGTCCATGTTGGCAGCACCAGTGATCATGTTCTTGATGTAATCGGCGTGACCAGGACAGTCGACGTGGGAGTAGTGGCGAGCTTCCGTGGCGTACTCGATGTGGGCAGAGGAGATGGTGATACCACGCTTGCGCTCCTCAGGGGCCTTATCGATAGAGCCATAATCGAGGAAGCTAGCAAGACCCTTGGTGGCCTGCTGCTTGGTGATGGCAGCACTCAAAGTGGTCTGGTTCGGAGTGTGAGAAGTTTTCGGGGCCAGATTGAGAGGGAAGGGTGATGGGAGAGAAAGATTGTGCTAACCTTGCCGTGATCGACGTGACCAATGGTACCTGTTGAATATCTATTAGTATGAAAGCACGAAAGATCAATGAATCTGATGGAGAGAGCATACCAATGTTGACGTGAGGCTTGGTACGCTCGAAAGCAGTTGCCAGACCGCGGGCAGCCAGCTTGTCTTTGGCAAAGACATGCTGGATGGGGTTGACAGCACGGGGACGCAACAAAGACGCCCGGCTGGAGCGCAGCAAGAGGTTGGCAGTTCTGGCAAGGCTCGACATGATGGCTACCTGCGATGGAAAAACAACAACAGGAAGGGAAACCAAATGGAACGCGATGGACAGAAATCAAAACCAGCCGGACCGGGAAGGTTTGGAGGAGGACCTTAATCAAGCCCGGAAAATTCTAGGGAGCGGCTGACTCAGCCTCAGGCCAATCATGCTCGCAGCATTGCGGAGTCGGCCAGGAACATCCCGCAAATACTCAGTAACTTGGAAGCATACAGTAGATACACCTGACCGCAGTCTGAGAGTACTGAGTACCATGTGGATAGCGCTTGTACAATTCCTAGGTGCAAAGCCTAGCTTGCGTTGTTGTAAGGGAAAGATTCATATAATACAATTGTATATACTGGCCGATTTACACAAGCGTGACCTTCTCTACCAGAGTAGCTGCATCAACAGGCTACTGGTCGGGCTTCTTCCTCACAGTAATGGTAACTGCCCGCCCTGGCTCTCCCTCCATGGGTTTGATTTGCATGCCATTGGCCTCCTTGATCGTTTCCACCACTTTGTCCATGAGGTTTTTGACTTCCTCCGCCGTGGGGGCTCGTTTGCCCTTCTTCCGCATCAAGACAACCTCCAACTTGAAGCCTTTGGTAATAAATTCGGTAATCTTCTTCAGGCGATGGTTAAGATCATGGTTGTCGATAGCCCAGTTCAATTCCACCTGTTTGAAGGAGGTCTTGGTGACGTGGGCTGCCTTGGCTCTGGCACGCTCGGCCTCCCGCAGATTCATTTTGTTCACAAGCTTGCAAACCGGCGGCGCGCCATCCGCTCCGTCGCTGACCTTGATCAAAAACTCTTTGGAGCGGTCGATGTTATTGAGGACAGTCGAGCGTCGAATTGGGGGGTCCAAAGTGTTGTTCTCGTTCACCATCTGGATCCATTCCGATACAATGGCCTCGTCTTTGATGAGTCTTGCCTCCTTCGATTCTGTTTTTTGGGAATCTTTACGGTTCCATTTCATTGTTCGAACGCCCATGGGTAAAGGCCGGAGGTACTGCGGTCGGATGAGGCGTTGAGGCGGGAAGAAGACCTGGCGCAGGACTTGCGCCGTCGAGAGGAGGCTGCGCATGTGCTTCATTTTTTCGGCGCAGGAGTTGCTGCAGGAGTATGGACGAGCGCAATGTTGTGATCGGATGAACCCGATAAACCCGAATGAATGAAGTCAAAGAGCTGCAGAAGGATAAAGACCAGCTCAATCGTCCTGGGAGATAAAGGTGACGTAGCAGGCTGCAAGTGAATGACAATAATAATGACAATTTGGGATATGAGAATGGACGCATGCGGACAAAGTGACAGGAAGAGAGGAGGGAGGTTGAGGTTGACCGCCCACCAGCCACAATGACAGGCGCCACAATGGGCGGGAGACCAGAGAGAGAGAGAGAGACCCTGAAAGCTGAGAGGCTGAGAGGCCGAGAGGTTGATCGCCCGCGCTCTCATTTGCCTCCCCGTGTCCCATAGACCACTCCCGTACCGTCCCTCTCTCTTCCTCTTCCCGACCTCCGCCCTCCCGTCTCTCCTCTTACTTTCTTTCTTTTCTCCTCTTCCTCTTCTCCTGACGACCATCACTTTCTTACCTTCCCTTCGTTGTTCGACGTCCCTCCCCCACCCCCCTTTCACCCTATCCACGATCCTTTCGGGCTGGACCAGAGGTTCTTAGGGCGATCCTATGGTTTCTACTCACTCCGACCGCTAACTTCCATCTTTACTTCTCGTCCAACTCGGTCGGAGTTCAGGAACGTTGTCCGAAACGCCATAGCTTCGTCCCCCTGGCTTTGTCCGCATGTCGACTGGAGTTGACAGCCGACATCTCAAGGGTTTACCGTCTTTCTCTAAACCGGGTTCTAGAACTAGTCGACGTTCGATTTCGCGCACTTCCACCCCCGCAAAAGTTTCCGACAATCCGAATTATCTGGCCGATTCTAAACCAACCAACATTTCAATGTTCGCCATGGCTCAGACGCAAAGAGCTCGTTATTTGAAGACCGGAGCGGTTGTTGGCTTTGTTCTATTAATGCTTCTATGGCTTTCGCCCTCCAAGCCCTCCGTGAGCCATTTTGGAGGATCCCGTAAGTCACTTTGTCCGCATCCGGAAATCCTATTGAGACTGACTCACTGGTTGTAGAGAAGCCATCGACTGGCGCACCCTCTTTGACTGAGAAGTGCACCAAGCCATACGACTCTTCCAAGCCCCTGATCCAGTATGCGCTCATGATCGATGCCGGTAGCCAGGGCTCCCGGATTCACGTCTACCGCTTCAACAACTGCGGCCCCACCCCCGAGCTCGAGAACGAGGTCTTTGAGCAGACGGAGAAGAGGCAAGGCGGCTCTGGCTTGAGCTCTTACAAGGAGGATGCTGAGGGAGCGGCGAAGAGTTTGGATCCTCTCATGCAGGTGGCCCTTAAGTCGGTGCCTGAGGAGTACAGGTCATGCTCACCCATTGCTGTCAAGGCCACTGCGGGCTTGCGCATGCTTGGCAACGAGATGAGTATGAAGATTCTTGAGGCCGTTAGGACCCGTCTCGAGACCGTGTACCCCTTCCCTGTCGTGTCGCGGGAGAAGGGTGGTGTCGAAATCATGGATGGCTCGGATGAAGGTGTTTACGCCTGGATTACCACCAATTACCTTCTTGGCAAAATTGGCGGACCGGACGAGACCCCTACTGCTGCCATCTTCGACCTCGGCGGTGGTTCTACTCAAATTGTCTTCCAGCCCACCTACCCCAAGAGCCCGTCTGGCGGCATGCCCGAGCATCTGGCCGAGGGTGACCACCGGTATGATCTTGAGTTTGGTGGTCGGCACTTTGAGTTGTACCAGCACTCTCACTTGGGCTACGGACTCATGGCTGCGCGGGAAGCGGTGCACAAGGCCATCGTCGAGGCCAAGCTTGCCGCCAGCCCCACTGACTTGGCCTGGCTGGATCAGCCTATCTCGAACCCTTGCATTGGGCCTGGTATGGAGCGCAAGGTTGACTTGTCTTTCGATGCCGGCCACGCTCTCGCCCCCAAGGTTAGCGTCAAGATGGTGGGTCCGAAGGAAGGATCCTCGGCTGCACCTCAATGTCGGGGTCTGACCGAGAAGATTCTCAAGAAGGAAGCCGACTGCAAGCTGGCCCCCTGCTCGTTCAACGGAGTGCACCAGCCCTCTCTGGCCAAGACGTTCGCACGGGAAGATGTCTATGTTTTCTCCTACTTCTATGATCGGACCAAGCCCTTGGGCATGCCGGATTCTTTCACTCTGGATGAGCTGCATCACCTCACCTCGACCGTCTGCGCCGGTAAGCCGGAGTGGAAGATCTTTGAGGGAATCGATGACGCTATTCCTCAGCTCCTCGACCGCCCTGAATGGTGCTTGGATCTGAACTTTATGCTGGGTTTGCTTCACACGGGTTACGAGATGCCATTGTCTCGTGAGGTCAAGATCGCCAAGAAAATCAAGAACAACGAGCTTGGTTGGTGCTTGGGCGCTAGGTAAGCCATTCGACCTGATCTAACTTTCAAAAATATTCGCTAACTTCTTCTTGCAGTTTGCCTCTCCTGAGCCAAGAGTCTGGCTGGACATGCCGAGTTAAGGAGGTGTCCTAATGGACGATAGTGATGCGGTCTGTATAATTAATCAATATCACATTTTTCTTCTGCCTTTACTTTTTTATCTCTTTTAAACAGAGTAGACTTGGGACTTCTGTATATGGTTCATGTATCAGACTTTTTCTTCGGCATGATTGTTTGATGTTTGCTTATTATTTGAGACTCGGTCGTAGTATTGTTTAGTCCAAAAATAGTCTATAAACGTAATTGTGAAGGTCAACACGAGAGCATGCCTCCACCCGCTTGATGAAAAAGCCAAGCAAGTAAAAAAAAAGAAAAAAGATGTCCAATTCAAGGACACTAGGAAACCCGCACGAAGTAGCAAGATAAAACGTCCGACCCCAAACGCCCTCTTGCCATGCAAACCAAAAAAAAAAGACCCGATCTCTACCCAGATAACTTTTCACAACCTTTTTTTAATCGAAGGTCCACAAACAGAAAACATAGGATTCACTTCTCCAACTCCTCGATCGTGGGCTTCGACGCCGCCGCGGCCGCAGCATCCGTATTACCCATCAAGGTATCCAAGACCCCAGAGTCCTTAGGCCGCGAAGCCAGCACCGTCTCCTCGTTGCCCGGTGGCGCGGCGGTCGAGATCTCATCGTCTGGCCGTTTCTCTTCCAGCACGCCGAGTCCGAGGTTCTAATCACAGCGAAAGTCAGCTTTCCAAAAATTCCCGCCGTAGAAAAGAAACGCAGCGTCAAACAAGACGCCTGTGAGTCAGAGTAAGAGGAATGTGAAAACCCACCATCTCGATATACCGCTTCCCATCCTCCTCTCCCCCGTCCTCATCCTCGTCCTCATCCATCGCATCATCCAACCGGATATCCTTCGCCCGGCCGGCGGCGATATCGCGCTCGAGCTGCTCATTGGCGGTCTTCATCTGCGGCAGGAAGGCCGATAGCCGGGAGAGGAGGTCGGGCGTCTGCTGGATGCGGTGGATGTTGGGTTTGGGAAGGGCTGGAATGCGGGGGATGGAGGTGTCCGCGGAGGCAGCAGAGGAGGGGTTGTGCGCGGGGCGCGGGGCGCGGGGCGGGGTCGCGGTCGCGGTCGCGGGGACATTCTCCTCGTCGTTGTCGCTTTCTTCTTCTTCGCTGTCGCTGGGGCCGGAGGAGGAGGTGTAGTCGTCGCTATCGTCGGCGGCGGCGGCGGCGGCGCTATGGTGGGGAGGGCCGGCGGATGAATTTGTTTGACTGTCTGGGTTTGTGGTGGAGGATGCGACGGGATCGTCGCGGAGTGAGTTGGAGGAAGGCGCGCTCATTGTGATGGTTTGCTTGAGGTGTGGTGGTTGTGAATTTTTTTTTCTAAGAGGAGGAAAGAAGACGAATGGATGAATTCATGATTGACTGAAACTTGCGGGCGATCGAATTGGCGCCGAAGTGGGGGCGGGCGGGGAGGAAGAAAAGAGCGAAGGGAGGGAGAGGAAGTGTAAGTGTAAGTACTGTAACTGCCCCGTAACCTACCTTAAACTACAACTACAACAACAGGCAATCTAATCTAGTGCTGTGCTGCACAATGATGGCAGCAAGAGGGGCGCATGCGCTCACCAATCGCCAAGGCCTCTTTTCCGAGCGGCTTGATCGCCCTGCAGGTGATTCGACAGTCTGTCTTTCTTGTTTGTCTTACTTCTATGAGGAGTTACTTGGACTTAACTTCGTACTTCCCTTCCTTCAGACTCACTTTCCCGGCTGGCTGGTTTGGCTTTGCTTGATCCATGCGCTGAATCCACTACACTCTCCCGCATTCAGGGGATGTTATCTATTCACTGCTCATTTGGTTCTCTGTTTTATTTCTCTTTCTAAACTGATCTCCCTCCTCTTCTTCACTGACAGAGGTCTTCATTGCTCCCGATTGTGGCTATTCTTCCCCACGACGAACTGTTGTTGTCCATCATCATCCCCACTTGTTGGCTGGCCAGATCTCGGAATAGATTCACTGTTGCTTACCATTTCAGGGTCAGTACCTTTCCCTGTTTCCTAATTTATCCTGTGTCTTCTTTGTTCGCCACGGCTGGCCAGTACCAATAAAACTATTCTTGGACCCCAAACCCGTTGTTCTTTCATTCAAGCTCACATTCATACTTCTCATTGTCCTCCCTGCTCATCCCGGCGGTGCGGACTTTCCTCAGAACCAGCTGACCCCAAGTATAAGAGTTCAATTATATCTCCCATACACAGCGCCAGCTACTTGATTTACCAGCGCTCCTTCATACGTTGCGCCTTGGCATGATCACCGGCTCTCTCACCTCTACCACGGAGCTCCTATCGTCCTAGATTCCAGCGTGGAACGAGCCGATCGATCTATACCAACCGAATCCAACAACCAAGAGAGTCCAAGATGCCCATCTCCATCAACAACAACACCACCAGTCCTCTCGAGGAGATGACCAAGGTCCAGCAAACCATCAAGCCGGAATCCAACCCCGCAGCGACCTCCCCCTCCTCCGCGACGACCCGCAAATCTCTCCACCAGAACATCTTCGGCAAGCTGCGGCCCCTCCCCTTCCAGTACCACTGGGCCGTCTGGTACGACAAGCACACGGACGCAACCAAGGAAGCCACCGCCCAGGACTACGACTCACGCCTGTACCTCCTGCACGAGGACGTCTCCGACATCGCCACCTTCTACCGCGTCTACAACAACTATCCGTGGGACAAGGTGCGCCTGCGCGACACCGTACACATCTTCCGCAAGGGCGTGCGGCCCGTGTGGGAAGACCCGGAGAACCGCAACGGCGGGTGCTGGCGTTTCCGAGTGCCCAAGAACAAGGCGCAGGAGTTCTTTCACGAGATCGCGATCCTGTGCATGGCGAATGAGTTCCAGGCTGTGTTGGAGAAGGGTATGTTTTCTGTTAGCTGCTTGCTCCTTCTCCCCCTTCCCGCTGCCCCGCTCCCCCCCACCCCCAGCCTCCAGCCTCCAGAACCCGGCTCTGAGATATACTTCCGAATAAACATCAACTTTACAGTAACAAACATCAACTTTACAGTAACTATGCATGTTATAAATACACTAACCAAAGACCCCTAAAACAAACAGAACACGACCACGTCCTCGGCGTCTCCACGTCCGCGCGCTTCAACTCCAACCTCATCTCCGTGTGGAACAAACTCGGCGACAACGAACACTCCATCAAGGCCCTCGAGCAGACCATCCTCGACCGCCTGTCGCCCGAACTGCGTCCCACCGGGACCGGCTCAACCGCCTACTTCTACAAACGGCATGCCGAGAACGACGGCTTCACCGAGGCAGTCGAGAAGGCGAGTACGGTGACGTGAGGTAACCTTCGCCAACTTGGTTTGGTCGCAGTTACTTATCTCATTGTTTGATCTTCGCCCGCTTCACTTCGACTTAATCACCACCCAACTCTTCTTTCTTCTTCATGTCTTCACAAAGTAGCCAGTTGGCGTTTGTATACTTCTCACATCTCTTGTACTTATGTACCCACCCTAGCATTGCAGAGCTCGGGCTTTTTACTTCTTTGCCCTCGCTCGAGGTTGCATTATTCAGCCATGTGAATTCGGAACATAGTTTCATTTCTCACAGAACAAAGTTCTGCCCCCAACCCATCATGAAATCAAATCCTGAATCAGTAATGAATAAGGTATCTCCCGTATACCCCGGTAATAGGTAAAATGAAGACAATGCACCGCTCATTCACCCAGCAATCCCATATTGTACTCAACCCAACCCAACCCAACCCGAGATTCTGTTTCTTTTGGTTTCCCCCCTCAAACCCTATGCCACCCATCCTATCAACGCCAACCCATGCGAAGAACGAAAATTGCAAATTGCCCACGTGAAATACAAGATATAGTTACAATGGAAGGCGGCAGAATCCGACCTTCCAATCCCAGATCCCAGATAGGCATAGGACTCATCTATTGCGGCCGGAGCTCTGCCGCCTGGGACCCTGCGGGGGAGGAAGAGAAGTAGAAGCAGAAGAAGGGGCCGGCGGAGGCTGCAGCGGCCGCCGGTCGTCCGTCCGGGGAGTCGTTGCCGCTGTTGCGGATGCGGATGTGGACGCTGTTGCTGACGCTCCTGCCGGTACTGCTGCGGGTGTGGACTCGGTCGTCTCCGACGGCCTGCGCTGTTGCTCGGCGCTTCCACCCCCACCTCCACCCCCACCCCCGGGGACATAGCGATCGATCTCCACGAAGCGCGGACGGTCGTCGCGCTCACGCTCGCGCTCCTTCTCGGTCGACCGTTCGGGGGACCTCACGCGGCGCCGTGGGGACCGGCTGCGGTTGCTGGTCGGGGGCACATAGCGGTCGATGTCGAGGGTGCTGGGGGAGCGGCGACGGCTGCGCGAGCGGCGGGCGCGGGAGCGCGAGCGTCGGCGGGAGGAGACGGACACTCGGGCGGATTTCTCGTCCTCGCGTGGCGGGCGGTCTCGCGAGCGATCGGGATTGCGTCCCCGGCTAAGGTGGTGGTGGTGGTCGTTGGTGCTGGTCGTGGTAGGGGTGCTGGTCGCAACGGTGGTGTGAGGGTTCATGGGGGTTTTGGTGGTGGTGGTGGTCGTGGTAGGGGTGGCGGTGGTGGTGACGTTGCCATCGCGGTCACGCTCTCGATCGCGATCGCGATCACGATCCCGATGCCTGTCTCGCTCACGATCACGATCATGGTCGCGGTCTCGATCGCGATCGCGATCTCGATCCCTTTCTCGATCTCGATCACGGTCCCGGGCGTCTCTTGTGTCTCTGGCATCTCTCGTATCCCTGACGTCCCTCTTTTCTCTGGTATCCCTGTCCTTGTCCCGGTCGCGGTCACGGTCTCTTTCGCGATCCCTATCGCGCTCTCGATCACGCTCCCGATCCCGATCCCGATCCCGATTTCTGTGTAAAGACCGTGAGCGGGATCGAGATCGATACCGTGGACGAGAGCGGGATCGAGAATAGTAGCTGTGTCGTCGGCGGTAATCGTCGCGATCGCGAGCTCTATCCCGGTCTCTTTCTCTCTCACGGTCCCTGTCACGGTCCCTGTCGCGATCTCTGTCTCTGCGATCCCGTTCCCTTTCTCGACTGCGATCTCGACGATAGTCGTGATCACGATTCCTTTCGCGATCCCGATCCCTCTCCGAGCTTTTCTCGCGGTATCGCGGGCGCTCTGCAACCTGATCTCGATCTCGATCACGATCACGATCTAAGGTTCGAACGGTCGAGCGGCTTCGGCTGCGACGACTGGGCCGGTAGCTACGGTCACCGTACCGATTTTCACGATAGTCTCGAGGAGGCGCTCGGTCATCGGAGTCGCGCCCGCGAGACATACTCGACACATCCTGTGACGGGTTCCGGCGGTCATCTTCGACCCGGGGCGGAACTCCCCTCTTTCTCGAGCGGCTGCGGCTCTCATCACGTCGTCGTGGCCGTACGCGGTCATCTACGGAGCCGCGCCGCTTCACCGCCTCTCCTTCGGTAGGGATACTGCCCGCGCGCGTGGGCGTATTTGAGTATCTTGAGTCGGGTGCTTTGGGTCCCTTTGGTGGTGGTTTGAGTCCGTTTTCAATCGCTTCAGCTTCCTCGAAATCGAACTCGGGCTTCTGTCGGGCTTTCGCAGCGAGCTCCTCTCCCTCCTTCAACAGCATTTGTAGCGCAGCCTCTTCCAGAGACTTCTCGTCAACAGGGGCTGGAGGCGGTACAGGGGCCGGTGTGGGTTCTTTGGGTGTCGGCGATTTCTCTTTCCGAGTCTCGCGATGGCGGGGAGAATGGCCTCGTTCGGAGCGGTAGCCGGGGGAGCGATCACGGAAGCGAAAACGATCTCGGTCTCGGTCGCGGTCTGAGTCCCGGTCTCTGGTTCGACTGCGATCCCGCCAATCGCGGAATCTCTCGCGCTCTTCCCGACGGCGGCGTTCGTATCGTTCCTGGCGTTCCTGGCGCTCCTTCTCTCGTTGCTCATCCAGCTTGCGCTGCTCTTCCCGGCGTCGCTCCTCGCGCTCCCTACGTCTGGCCCGTTCCTCTTCCTCCTTCTGGCGTTCGAGCTCGCGTCGCTTGCGGTCCTCTTCCGCCTTCTTGCGCGCTTCCTCCTCCTCAGCTTCCTTCTCCTTCCGCAATGCTTCCTGGTAAGCTCTCTCGCGCTCATCGCGCTTAGCCTGTATGTAGTTCGCATAGTCCTCGTCAGTCTTGTTACCTGCCTTCTCTTCCTCGGCAGCGGCCTCCACGCCGACTTCATCGCGGCGGATCTCCCGCACAGAATCCAGAATCGTCTGTAGATGATTCGAAGCGAGCGCATCCAGCGACTTCTCTACCGTCTTGTAGACGTCGCTCCGATCGACGGCGCCCTCGATAAGAGTCGCGGCCTTTCCGCGCTCCCGCGACAACAGTCCAGGTTCGCGATCGATCTCCGCTTCCGCAAGTTCGGCGAGGAGGTTCGTAAATTCCGCTTTGCCTTCCTACATGAGCGCGCACAGGGAAGGGGGGGGCGCGGAATTAGTCAAACAGAAACCACAATGAGGACAACAAAGAAGAAAAATAAGAACGCACCCCTTCCTCAAACTCCGCCCATATCTTCTTGCGCACATTATCGAAGCCACCTCTCTTCTTGAATGCATGTAGAAGATGCTCGATTGCGGCGTGTTGCGCAGCGGTCAAGGGCAATTCATCGGTTTTGAACTTCTTGCGCTGGAGGCTGTCAATGTCCAGGGGTCGCTTCACGCCCGCGACGGCGACGGCAGCGGCGGTGGCATCATCACCAGCAGCTGGGGCCAACACATCTGCCGTCTCCTCCAATGGACCGGCCATCGCGGAGAGTCGGCTGGGTATCCGATGCGCGCGCAGCTGAGACAGATCTTAGATTGGATAGCGGGAAGTAAACCCGTGCTTGAATAGAAAAGTTCCTAAGTATGAAGAAAGACAAATTCATCAATGAAACATGGGGAAAAAGAAGGTAATCAAAAAAAGTTGCGCTCGCATGGAGCGGGCGCGTTTTGTTGAAGGGCCAGGCCGTCTGGTCTCTCCCCGAGCGGAAAGAACAGCAATCGGATAAATTCCTTGCCCGATCACCCGCACCCCGATTGGGAACTGCGGCCCCGTGATTCGACGCAACAACTGAACCTCCGTCGATGAATCCCGGCGTCCCTCCACTTTCCAGTATCCGTTGGATTCAAGCCTAAGTTCAGTCGCAACGTCACTTTCGAGCGCGGTCCCCGTCTCTTCTCCTCTGTGTGCCGGAAATCTCTACGCTTGAATCAGCGCAGATACAATTCTTGAAAACCGGCCCATTCCGATTACCGCCCTCCCTTTCCTCGCTCCACATCTACCTCGCAAATCATGGTTCACAAAGTCCTCTTCTGGGGTGGTTTCGGTATGTTATCCCCACGCAGACCGCTCTTGAAAGCCCTCAACTGGACGGGGATGCACTACGTTTAGTCGCCGTCTCCGAATTCAATCAATTGACTCAATCCCCAAAATGCAGGCATCGCCGTCCGCCTCTGGCAACTCGGCATCGAAATGCGGCCCATCCTCGCCCGCGAATCCCTCTGGGTCTACCCGCTCTTCGCCGGCGTCGGCGGCAGCTTCGGCTACTGGCTGCAGGGCGTCGAGGAGCGCCAGCTCCGCATACTCGCCCAGCGCCGCGAGCAGATCCTCGAGAAGCGCCGGCGGAGGGATGATCGCGAGAACGCCACGTTGAACCGGGTCGAGGAGAGTGTTTTGGCCGCTGCTGCTTGAGCTGTCCGGAGCCTGAAGAAAGAATTTGAAAAAAGCAAAGGAAATACATTGCTTCCTGTGTGGGTGGGGGGAAACGTGAGGGGGTTGTGGATTGTGTCGTGTATATCTGGACTGGGTTCTTTATGCTTGTGTGTGGTGTCTTTCTCCTTTTATCGTGTTATAAATTTTATGCCTTTTATATTCATGTTCCTTTTTTACTGCCTGGGGGAGGGGAAGGGGGGTTGAGTCGTATAAGGGTTCTTTGGTTGCGGCGGGGGAATGGGGTCATGGTCATGGTCTTGGGTTGATGGTATAGGTGATGTGTAGTATGGGGAGGCTTAGATGGTGAGCGTCCACATGGGAGGCAGGGAGGTGGTCATATTGTGTGGTTTTTGAGGGGTGCAAGTTGGGAATGTGTGACCTATTCTATATCCATGTCCATCTGCGGTGTATAGGAGATTCATCACCCGGATTGAAAGCAGAGGTTTCATGCACGTTGGTCTTTCAGCATTGGAGCTCTGGTTTCACTATGTCCCAGTGGAGGCACACTTAATCACCCCCGGTATATAACCTTAACCGAAAATGGTTGCATTTCCAGTAAAGAAAACGAAGTATGTCCAGTCCATAATGTACATCATATCAATTACACATGTCACGCCTTCTCAACTGCAAATTGCAACGACACCTCCCACTTCTGTCCCCCCGTCCCGTACCCCCCGCCCAGCCGATTCTTGATCAAACTGGTGATCCGCTCACGCAGCCGCGCCAGATTCTCCTCCGGGCCGGACACGCGAAGCTTCAGATTCGCCATGCACAGACCGTAGTGCACCTGCCAGAATCGGGCATCGTCGACCCCACGCACACAGGGATCCGTTTCGATGTCGCGCATAACGTCCGTGACACCCTGGCCCGAGTACGACATCAGCAGCATCGACCCCAGGGTCTTGACCAGGCGCACGCCGATGACGCACATCGAGATGGAGATGGTGCCAGACAAAAGCACGTCGAGCCATTTGTACAGCTTGATGGAGACGAGCGGCAGCAACAATAGGAGGGACGAGCAGGAGAGCGTCAGGAAGTGGGAGGGGTTGCTGAGAACCGACGGCAGCGATTCGATATACCCAAAACGCATCGCCTTGCCGATGCGGCCGTGGTTCTTGAGGCCAATCGCCGAGACGAGCGTAGACACGATGGCGAGCAGCGCCGTGAAATCCACTCGTCCCAGTGACACGCGTTCGTGCACGTGAGAATGGTGCGGCTCGTGGCCGGCGGACTCGAGGAAATGCTGCAGATTGTGCGAGATCAGGTCCATACCCATGAAGAGCAGGAGCACACACATGGCGAACCCGGCGAGCACCTCGGCTCGTTCGAGCCCGAAGGGGTGGCGCACGCTGGACCGCTTCCACACCTCGAAATTGCCTAGGATGTCCACCGCGACGCAGAGGAGAGCTCCGATGGAGTCGAACAGGATCAGATGCGACAACGCCGTCATAGCCAGGGAGCCGTGCGCGCTCCACAGAGTATATGCCGCGACGGACATATGACACAGGCTCCACCAGAAACGGGTCGTCTGGTCCTTAGACATACTAGATCGGTATTCCTTGAACGTAGGGACAGGTAAGGAGTTGGGCAATGCTAGCGGGGCTCGAGGTGGTGGCTCAAGGAAGATCTGATGCGATATACTACTGTGCTTGTACTTATGTCCGCGCCGCTGTCCGATATTCTATTTAACATAGGCAAGGGCAATCAGGACCATGAATCATACTGTTTACTATATTGTGGGAGACTCACAGACTTGACAACGGGGCTCTTGGCCATAGTGGTTGTCTGGAAATTGAAGGGGCCGGCCGACACATTGTCGCTCTGATCGCCTGGTGATCGAGCACTGGCTGGACTGAGGTTGAAAGCAGCCCTCGTCGGGCTCAGGCGAGTGGGATCATTGACATTTAAAGTACTCCTGGAGGGAGTAAATGTATCCCTCAATGGGGATAGCGAGTCCTTGTCGTAAAGGGTAGAGGATGGCTCGAACGCGCTGGTAGGGCCGTCATCCACGGGCGGAGTCGGGGTACGCGGAGGAATAGGGATGGGGAGATTCGACGCCATCACGACAGTCACTGAAGAATGGGGCGCCGGCGCCGATCGATCTGAAGGGATACGCAGGTCACCTCGTAGGCAGCGTTACACCGACCGGAACTCAATGGAAGGGAGAAAAACAACACGGCGCAACCGCGGAGAGGGATGAAAACCAAGCTTCCAGGGAAGCAGGGAGGCTGACAATTGGGAAGGGGAAGAATGTCGCCCGGCGGTTGTGAAGCCGGGCGGAAAAGGCGGGGGAAACGGGGCGGGCCTCAGGCCTCGACTCACTCAGCGCATCATCGACTTCCGCCCGCTTCCCCATTTCATCATCTTCCCATCTTCCATCATCATTATCACTGTCCCGGTGTTTGGTTCCTCAAGAGCTTAATGACCAGCTCTAAATGAGTGTCGCTTGTTCTGGCCATAGATTGGCGATGTGACACAAAGTGACTTGAGTATTTCTATTGATCTTCAGGAGATCCCCCCCCTCTCCAACTCCGATGCCTACATCCCCTTGGCATCTATGGATCACCGCGGCTCCTTTTTCTTCTTTTTGTTCGTCCTATATCTTCTCCTGAGCTCGCAGTCTCGTTCGCCCTTGGTATCTCAAGATGGGGAGCATCAGCGGGAACTGGAAAGGGAGCGGAATGCCCTTCGCCTCTTGAACGAGACTCAATATGGAGATTTTGACCCGGGATCCGATAAATGGTTGCCTTTTCCAGGCGTCCGCAAGAACGACAGTTATGCCTGGGATCTTCTCCCCGATGTTCAGGACAGAGCCCGGTCTCAGTTGCGGTCTGTGATGACTGAGGCAGGCCTCCGGCCTCCCAAGTCCCTTGCAGTGTCTGACGCACTTTCGGATCTCAACCTGACGCAGCTGTCGCTGCCGGTCTACCGCAATGCGACAGGGAAGCTGCGCGGCGAATGGGTGCGCCGCAAGCAGGACAAGCCACATCCTCCCCTCAACAAGACTGCTATCATTCAAGAAAACGAGTACTTCACGCATGAGTTCAGCCAGAATGTCACCGGCAACAGTGGCACATTCTACCTCGATGTACGTGAAGGAGGCGGACAGGAGCTTCGGTCGTCTTTGGGCCATGTCCGGGAGATCCGAGCCACACTAGCTGTGGAAAGTGGTGACTTTTGGGGCAATACCTGGTATCTCTCACTCATTGGTATACATTTTCCAGAGACTGGCGGTATCATCCTGAGCACTACTAGCGAGAAATTTGGGGGCCTCCTCACCTTGCCACATCTTAGTCTCTCATCTGATGCATACAATCTCACTCATGAGCTTCTCATCAAATCATTATCGGATACCATTTCTGAGAAGCAGAACAGGCCTCCTACTCTTTTCCCTTGGTCCTCCTTAGCGGGCAGTGAGCATATGGAGTTTCCTGCGCCGAGATGTGAACACATCGTTTACCTGCAACAGCACCCACTCGCAATCCATGGCTATCTAGCCGACAAGGCGGTGATTGAGCAGATAGAGCAGGAATTGAGATATCCCATTGGGGCGCCAATCCCGTCACCTCCTTTGATGGTCATGTCAGCCGTGGTGTTCTCTCCTGATTGCGGATACATCCTAGAGACCAAGGGCGCGCCTGAATTCCCACCCACGGAGACGTTGTATCTGTCCGGTCCAAAGATAGAGGAATTCGCAAAGTACTCAGCTCGCATGATCTTTGTTATGTCGGCCGTCTCCGTTGCTCAAATCGCGTTGCTATTAAGGCAAGTGAAGGAAGCCTCGACGCCTTCCACTCGGAGTCGTATCAGTTTCTACACGATGGCTCTGATGGCCTTCGGAGATTCTTTTGTCCTCGTCTTCATTCTTCTGGAACTATACCCGGTGGTATCGTTCTTGGTCATGACAACCGCATCCTTCCTCACCTTCCTTTCGGTCAGTTACATCGGAATGAAGTTCATGATGGAGATTTATGCCATCCAAGCTCCAGAACGACGGGAGCAGGAGCGCCGGGCCCCCGCAAACGCCCATCCAGCAAATCTGCCACTTCCTGCGACGGCTGCCCAGGTCAGAGACTCCGGGGCAACCCCGGTCATATTGCCTCCGGATCAGGATGCTCCGGCTGATGAAGACGCGCCAGCCGCCAATCGTGGCACTGCACAGACAGCGCGGGACGCTCGAAGTGATTTGGGAACCATGTATGCACGGTTTTACTTCATCCTCTTCGTGATGCTTATCATATCTATCTGGGCATTCCTTTGGCCAAATCGACTCGGAGCTATTTATGCTCGAGTACTCGGGTTTATCTATCTTTCTTTCTGGACGCCTCAGATCTACCGCAATGTCATGCGCAACTGCCGCAAAGCACTGCGATGGGACTTTGTGGTCGGCCAGAGCTGTCTCCGACTATTCCCATTCCTCTACTTTCTTACCGCCCGTGGCAACGTGCTTTTCATCCGACCCGACGCAACGACGGCTCTCTCTCTGATCGGCTGGGTCTGGATCCAAGTCTGGATCCTCGCGAGCCAGGACATTCTCGGTCCGCGCTTCTTCGTTCCCCGCGGATGGGCGCCTCCTGCGTATGACTACCATCCGACCCTGCGTGATAATGTCGGGTCGGGCGACGATCTGGAGTCTGGGGGTGTGCTCCCGATCGGGGCGCTGCGGGCCGACGAACGCGAATACCCCAGCGAATCGAAGGACGACGACAAACATCGCTCGAGAGACCGAAAGAAGGCGGTGTTCGACTGCGCCATCTGTATGCAGGAGATCGAGGTGCCCGTTCTCACGTCCGGTGGGGCGGGCATGGCCGACGGAGCGTCGAGCATTCTCAGCCGGCGCACATACATGGTCACGCCCTGCCGGCATATTTTCCATAGTACTTGTCTGGAGAGCTGGATGCGGCTCCGACTTCAATGTCCGATTTGCCGCGAATCCATTCCCCCGGTGTAGAGTGTATGTTAGCGTCCGCAGCGTTTGTGTCGATAGCCACGTATTATAGACGCCCCGACAATGTTAGCAATGCAAACTAGCTTATTCATTAGAACTACAGTTTTGATATAGTAACCTCTTTTGATTTGATATATCCTGTAAACCCTTGGTTGAATGTTGAATACAGGGTCGAGCCCATTGAAGACCAAGCAGCCACGCTAGGTCAATCACCCACCCCCTCCCCAACCCAGCCCATCGTCATCAAAACCGACCGAAGCCGGATTGGAATCAACCCACCTCGCATCATCATCATCATATCTATAAACCCAATCAAATCCACGTCGCATCCCGCCGAGACGCAACATTATCCCAAAACATAAGATTCCATCCCATAAGAAAACCGCAAGCATGAACAAGTGTAAAAAAAAATCAAAGACGAAAAACCCCCCCTCGGGCCCCTCCCCTAAACCCATCACATTCTTATGGAACCAGACCTAGTGATCCTCCGCCTCGATGTGCGCCTTGTAGGCGGCCTCATCCAGCAGGGAGTCCAACTCGGCGGCGTCGGCGACCTCGATCTCGGCGATCCAGGCCTCGGCCTCGGGGCTCTCGTTGATGAACTTGGCCTTGTCTTCGAGGATGGCGTTGCCGCGCACCACGGTGCCGGCGACGGGCGAGAGCACGTCCGAGGCGGACTTGACGGACTCGACGGCGCCGACGGGCTCGTTGGCGCTCACCTCCAGCCCCTCGGAGGGGAGCTCGACGTAGACGACGTCGCCGAGGGAGTGGGCGGCGTAGGCGGTGATGCCGATTTTGGCTGGAGTGAGGGGGGTCATTAGCTTGGGTGTTTGGGGGGTTGGGGTGGAAGGAAGAAGGCAGGGACGGTGGGGGGGGGAGAGAGTTAGGGACACAGAGGGAATGAGGACGATGAGGTTTAAGAAGAGGGGGAGCGGAAGGTAGACTCACCCGTCTTGCCGTTATCGGCCAGCTCGATCCATTCGTGAGACTCGGTATACTTCTTCAGTTGCCCTGTGTGGGTTGATGAGGTCGGTCAGCCACCACTATTTTCCAGGACATTGTATTTTGTTTTTGTGGGAATATGAAGACCAAAGCATGCGGAGGCTTCAATAACCCCCTTAACACAGCCATCGGAGGGAGAATGCGTACAGAATGGGCTCTGGGAGAAGCTCCGGACACTTCCCCGCGGGAAACTGACGGGGGTCGCCCTGCGGACGGCGGAGAGGGGGAGCTTCTGCGCGAGGAAGCGCGAGGCGACGGGACGGAAAGAACTGGCGAAGGCAGACATTGTGAATGGCAATTGAGACGGTAGGCGCAGCGAAGAGCGTGGTGAGGCAAGTCGGAGGGTGTCAGGAAGAAGAGCAAGAGTTGGGTTTGTGTGGGGGAAGAGGGAAGGGAAAAGAGGTTAAATACTAAAGGGCAGGAAGGAGTAGGAAAGCTAATGACGGAGATGACGAGCACTTCCCGGAGCTAGGCTAGTCTACATCTAGTGTACTGATAACGGGCTCGGGCTGCCAAGCCGATTAACTGATAAGCAAAAAAGCATTGCGGGCACGCGGCCCGGAAAAATCTGGTTCCCTTTCCCTGTTCAGATGTTCCCGGGCTTGTTGTCGACTCTCCGCTTGTCCCTTTCGTTGGTCCCATTGTCCAGGTCCAGAACAAATTGCTTCTCCGCAGATTTACCGCTGTCATGTTGTACGAGCTGATTGCAGTTGTACGTGTCTTTCATTCTCGTGGGAATGGAGAATTGTGGCTAACATCATACCAGGTCCGCCCCGGCAGCCTCCACGAGGTCCGCGAGTACGTACCGACTCGACTCCCTCCCCTACACTTCACTACAGCCAGACTTTCATCTCAATTCCATTCCTCATACAGTCTCCTCTGCCCCGACACTAATCATTCAACAGTATCGCCCGTAATGCCGGCATCCAGGTCCTGCGCGCCGGCGGCGTAGTCCGCGGCTACACCAACTGGGGCACCTTCACCCTGCCCCGGCCGACCACGAAGCACCAGGCCCGCTACCACGAAGGTCACCACTTCATCATGCGCTTCGACTCCTCTGGTGCCGTCCAGCAAGCCGTCCTGCGCACCCTCGGTCTCGATCCCCGTATGATTCGCTTCTCCGTGGTGAAGCTGGGCGACAAGCTGGAGGAGATCAAGGACGTGGAGGGCAAGGTGGACTGGAACAAATACCGCCCGCTCACCGACTCCATCTGATCGATGGTGTGGAATGGTTGATTTGCACTTGTTCTTGATGTTCGCGACGAGAAACAAAAGAGCCGGGTGATCTTCATTTGGGTTGCCCCCGTGGCGCAACGCGTCTAGATCGTTATTGTATCATATTTGGGATGGGTGTTCTTTTCTTTTTGCTTTTGTGTCTTTGTTGTATATCATATCAGCATCGTTGGCGCATATACCTGAACTGGCAGATTGTCGGCCAGTACCGATGGCGAGATCAATTCATCTGAGTTTGCTTGTGGGCTACAACTACTCTCTTGTTCTGGAGGAGAACTTGACATTTGGGCTGGTCGTGAGTGAAGGTGCGTTGAGTGCAAGGCTAGTTGATCTCAATCGGTTGGTTGGGCGGCACTACCGTTTGTTTGGCAGGCTGTCGGCAAGCTGTCGCCGGGCTGCAGTAGTGGACGATCGGTGCATCAATCAGTCTCCATAACATGTAGGAGGCACGACCCTTGAATTTAAAACAGCGAGTTCTGGACTTGCAAATCATGTGAGAAAGATTCCGGAGTAGGGAGTGTAGATTGGCCGCAGATCATGCCGTGTGCAAAAGCGCAACGGCATCTTCAGCCGAGGTTAGCTCCGACATGCTTCGGTTATGATGCAGTCCAGGAACGGAAGACGCTTAATTAGCCTCAACAATAGCAGATCCCCCTCCTCAACCTTCTTTGTCCAGGTGGTCCCTCTCTTTTTCAAGTCAAACTCCTCAGTAGTAACACCTCACATGCACATATCTTGGTCTTGTACCGCCGTCGCCTCTCATCCGCACCCACCGTAACCCTCGAATCGACAGGTATCAGGGATTTGTCTCCAAGAATATACTGTACATACCATCCATCACGAGCATCAAGTGCCACCACATCTCCAGGATCTCATTCTTTCGACTCTCTTCTTTCTTATAAAATCAAGCCGAGACCAAACGAAACCACAATGCTAGAGCTCTCCTACACCGAAAGCCCCTCCTCCTTCGCGGAGCTGATGTCCCTCCGCCGCCTGCCCGTGGAGAAGAGCCAAATCCCCTCGGCGAATAGCCCGGAACATATCGAACGCTTCCAATCGCTGGCACCACCCTACCCACCGGGCGAAGCAGGCCGGGCATTCGGCGGCCACGTCTACGCCCAATCGGCCTACGCCGCCTCGCAGACCGTCGAGAAAGGCTTCCTCATCCACGTATGTATTCCACTGAGCCCTCCCCCACCCTTCCCCAAACCCCTACACCCTGTAGACCAACCCACTTACCAAATCGAAGAACGTAACCGGCACCTTCATCCTCCCCGGCCGACTAGACATCCCCTACGAATACACGGTGCGCCACCTCCGCGACGGCAAAAGCTACTGCACGCGCGCCGTCGACGCCCGTCAGGCCCACCAGATCTGCTTCTCGGGGTTGGTCTCGTTCAAACGCGCCGAACCGCCTGCCGCAGCGCCGTTCGCGCACCAGCCCGTCTCCGCCCAACAGCGCTACGCCGAGCTTCTGGCCGGGAAGAGACCCCAGGACTTTCCGGTCCAGCCCGGCGTCGACGCGGACTTCTACATCGATCACTGGCGCGAGCAGTGGGAGAAGCACGGGATCCCGGAGCGCGAGTTCCCCGGGCTGGAGGCGCGGAATGTGGATATGCGTGGGTTCAACCAGAGGGAGGAGGTAACAGGTCAGCCGGATCGGTATCGGCAGTTGACGTTCTATAAGCTGAAGGGGTCGCCGGGGGATCAGCCTGGTTCTGTGAAGGAGGAAGAGGTCAGGGTGGGGGAGGTGAGGCGGAGGGAGAGGGCAGGCGAGTTCGATAATCTGTATGCGTGCGCGCATATGTATGCGGCGGATAAGAACTCGTTGCTGCTGATCCCCCGCGCGTTGGGAATGAAGGTGTGGGATGCGCTGGCCAGTTTGACGCTGACGGTTGTGTTTCATGAGCTCGGGGAGGCGGTGCGGATGATTGATTGGGATGCAGAGGAGGAGACAGAGGCTAAGGAGGAGGGTGGGCTGTCCAAGAAGTGGTTTATTCAGGAGGGCTGGACGCCTAGGTCCGGGGATAGTCGCGTGATCCATGAGAGTTGGTTGTGGTCGCCGGAGGGGAGGTTGGTGGCGACGAGTTATCAGGATGGTATGTTGAAGGTGGCTCGGGCTGATAAGGAGAAGTTGTGAGGATGAGCTGGTTATGAGGGTTGCATAGATCTATTCTTTGTATGTTCTGCGTATAGTCGGGCCATGGTATATATGGTTGGTGTAAAGAACACCCCAGCATTTTTTGACTTACGTTATCCAGAAAAGAGTTGATTCCTGCGAAATGGTACCAGTTCTATATCTTCAATATCTCATCAACTTATTAACCGTTATTCAAAGTCCTTGCTCTAGGCATGAATAATAAATCGGAATATGTGCCTTGGTAGATATATAGTAATCTGCTGCAACCGCGTTCCTGTTTTGAGAAAAAGAGATAGGCGCAGGGAAATAGTAGTGAGTCTCTAAATGATCAGGTCAAGCTGCTAGATGCGGAATCATTAGTGATGAAGAAGGACGATGGAGTGACTAGTGTATGCACCTGGTATCGGCGCCAGTTGATAGTCTTATCGATTATACAACTTCAGTATGTATTTTATCGGTCCTAAATCTCCAGAAATAGGTGAAGTAACTGCTCGAAGTCACTATTGGGGTTATTGATAATTATAGCTGAGTCCTATCATGCGCCTGTTCTCCCTCTCATCGACCTTATAAGCGATCAGACCACGAGTCATGCCCGGGTTCGACCTATCAAGATTTAGTTCCCAGCGAAGGGGTGAGATTGTTAGTAGTTTGGACTGATGCTTATGCCCGCTATATCCGTACTCCTTCTAGTGCCAAACGTCTAATGATGTATGATAAGCAATAAGACAAAGCTACTAATGTATTCATCATCAGCCATCCTCTGACACATATATTTAGCTCAATCCATCCATCCCCCACCATTGAGTCTACTCCGAATACAACAGAACAAGCACCTGCATCATGAAAATCATCCTCGCCGGAACAACCGGGCTCGTAGGCCAAGAGGTCCTCACCCAGTGCCTGGCCCACCCCTCAATCACCTCCATCCTCGTCCTGTCGCGTCGCGAACTGCTCAATACCATCACCCACCCCAAACTCCAGGTCCACCGCATGTAAGACCAGGACTTTCTCTCTTACTCCGACCCGCATCTCGCCGCCTCCCTCCGCGGCGCCACCGCATGCATCTGGACGCTAGGCGTGCCACCCTCGCGCGCGTCAGCTGACGAAGAGGCCTCCCGGCGAGTCACGCTGGAGTATACCATCCAGGCAGCCGTAGCGTTCAGCGAGGCCTTTACTGCTTCAAGATTCCGCTTCGTGTACTTCAGCGGCGGGATGGCGGAGCGCGATCAGACGAAGTCTTTGTGGGTGATGGCGGGGTATCGTCGGTTGAGGGTATGTCTCCTCCCTTTCAGCCATTCGATAGTCTACAAACAGAGAGACTGATAAAGAGACCTCTAGGGCCAAGCCGAGAATATCTTTCTGGCGTTTCGAGCCGAGCACCCCGCCACGTTCGAGTCATATATCATGCGTCCGGGCATGGTGCTCAGTTGCCAGGGGACACTGGCCGATCGGGTCCGGAGTCTGGCACCCTCCGTACGGGTGGACGTGTTGGCGCGGGCGGCGGTCAATCTTGCTGTTCGGGGTCATTCGGAGAAGATCTGGGAGAATGCCCGGATTACGGAGTGGGAGGGTGTTGGTGGGCGAGAGAGTTGATCTTGTTTAGTGGTCGTGTCGATGGCAATTGTAGACTGAAAGTCCCCTTTTCCAGTTCCGGGTGCCAGGCAACCACAACTCTTACACTTAAGTCTATACCCAAGATATAGCTAGAGACAGGTATGTCTTCGCATAGTCAGGTCTTCAAGTCTCGAAGAGTCTGATACTTTTGTTAGACTTATTTCGCCTTTAAAACCAAAGGGATGAAGTTCTAAGCCCCAAACTACTCAATTTACAAGAAGACAACTTAAGCTTTGTCAAGAGCCCTCAAGCTTTAGATCAAGATTAGCCAAGAAAGCCAAACGTAGAGTTCTCATTGTGGATTATGGGGATAGACAGCTCGCATGCGAGTGCAGCCCGCTTACCGACCTTTACATTGGCGTTGGCTCAACTGCGTTGGATGAACCTAAACAGTGCAAGTGGCTCATCAAACAACTCATCATGCAGGTGCTATCACATCCTCGTCTGCATATCTCATATTCTCGTATCTAGCGCAGAGAAGATTAGAGGATAGTGCTACAGTTGGGCGCGGGAAAAAAGCTGTCTCGAGGGTTATTCTACTCACGTCAGCAAAAGCGTCATCTTACTACTCATGAGTTTTTCCAACGTCGCAAAGAATGCTCCGATGATTCTGAGGCAGTGGTGGCAGTACCGAGCTGCCATTGCAGGCAACATGGAGTTTCCCCAAGAAGATATCTCAAGGGAGATGAATTTTCTGCAGTATCTCGATGCGGTGCTGGAGGAGCTTAGGGCTTCACAATCCGTGACCCGGAATCAGAAGCATGTCGATCGCCTAAGCGACAATTTTAGATTCCCAGGCTACACGCAGCCAAAGTGACAGCATCTTAGTCTTCATCACCGTCACCATTTTCTTCGTGCGCCTCTTGGGCAAGCATGTCGAAATACTGATGACTTCCAATATGGTTACCAGCTTCCTTCTTGGCGAGTCTTTTTGCATTCAGTATCTTAGAGTTTTATTATGAAGATGGTACTACCTAGTAGGTAATATCGCCCATCCCGCTGGATGGGTTCTTCCAATCACATATCAGTACTCATACATCCCTTGCTTACTTTCTCAATGCGACATATTCTGATCATTAAACACCAGTCAAGGCTACATCTGCTTTCTCCCGATTCATCATAGCCTTGTAGGAAGACATTGAGATGATTGTTGCTTAGGTTCGGTATGTTGAGCAACCGGATCATTGGTGTAGGACGGCCATCTCCGTGCTTTGGAGTCTGCTGTCTCTTGAGGAGAACGTTCGCGGGGTCCTGTCTTTTACCACAATAGCTATTTTGTTGTAGGGCACCATTGTGAGGTTCGTTTTCCCGTTAGGCAGAAACGACGGGTCGGCTGTGCATCCTTATTGACGATCACAGATCCAATTAAAAGTTGCTGGTATCAAGAGAATTGCTCTTGATTCTTATCTTTTTTTTTTTTTGGCAGGAGCCAGTATTCATGCCCGGCTCCGCCTTCTCACTCGGGGTGGGTGACTAGTCAAATGATAATCCTGATTTGATTGAGGATTTGGCTCGACATAATTATCAACGTGGAAACCGCTGTAGTGACTAAGCCATATAAGTGATATGAGCCATGACAGGGCTGGAAGAATAAGCTGTAATAGAGATTTCGTCGGGGTATGATAGCATTTGAGCTATCGTCGATAGGCCCCTGCCTTTCTGACTCTAGTCATATCCACAATCCCTAGGCCACTCTAGGAAATGCCATCGGTTTGGGCTCCTCATTTGAGGGACAAAGGGTCGGATATGAAAGTTGTCTCGGCGCTAGTTGAATGCGCCAATGTCTATAGCCGTAGGCAAGTCATGAAGTTTTCTCGGAGTGGTGAGTATTCCACCCCCCGGGAGTGTATGATACGCTGGAGGCTACCCAGGCACTATTAAGCGCCAAGAGTGTCGACGGACTTCGATCGCGGAGGACTTTTGCCATTGTTTCGTCTGAGGTAGATCATTCCCGAGCTCAAGTCGCGTCGTGCGTGATCCCAGAAGAATCGATATTCCAAGCAAGCACCCCGGTGGGAGTGTCCGAGCGACAGAAATCAGTGGCCGTACTGAACGGTCATGTAGGCGGGTGTATAAGGTTGCGATTTCACGGGTATCGATGGTCCTAGCCAAGGACTTGGGGAAGGAGTATGGCACCCGAATATCTGCCACAAGAGTGTGGTGATGTCGTGGATATCACTATTATGATATAGATGTTCCATCGTAGTAGAGAGGGGTTAATGTACTAGAGGCGGTGGGCGGCTCCCCAGACTTCGTATAGAACGAGGCCTTGGTCATAAGTCTAAATAGTCTATAACAGGTCTTCGAGCGTTTGGGATGACGATCAAGAGAGAAGGTTGTCGAGGAGCGGTCAACTATACGATAACGCTGCCATTGATCTGAGATGCATTCCCTTATTCACAGGGCTCTCTATTTCGAGTCTATGATTGTAATGTGGCAATCTTGCATATTCAATGATTTGGTGTAGGTGATCAAATCAAGTGGAGGAAGCAGTACTAAGGTTTAAGGTTACCAAAGCCTACCGGTGAATATCCAGGGCTCGGCCAGACTGCACTACTGGTAACTACACGCAGTGAATCTATTCAGTATTAGCTCTTATGAGGTTGCAAGAAGGTTGTGCCTGAATACACGACCCGCTTTGGCCTCTTAGCCTGATATGGTGAAGCGGGTGCAGATAGCCTCGAGTGGCACTGATCGAAAGAAATCGAGATCGAGATCGAGATCGAGATCGAGATTCAGGTCGATGAAGGGCTTGGGCTGGCGCAAGCCTCAAGAACCTTATGTAGACCCAGCCCATGCCGTTGGATGGCAGTTGATAAAGTACAGATCGTATGACTGTTCTGTCGCACGGTTTCGCTCCAGCCATTCGAGTCCAAGTTGGAGAATGCCTTAACTCGATAACGGTACCGGACAAGACTCCGACGAGGCAGCGAGGCAGCGAGGCAGCGAGGCAACCACGTGGGTGTGTGCTGCAATGAACCCCTGTCACGTGCATCAGTTGCCCGATGACGTCGTGGTTTTTTCCCGCTGACCGACGCCTTATCCGTAGTCTGGTACTCCGTAGATTGTTCACTGCTCAACAACCATCCTCAGACTCACTCACCTCATATCCCCTCCTTTCAGACTTGCTTGACTCGCACTACCATCATGTGTCCTTCAGTCTAGCCTCATCCAGCATAATGAAGAAGACACTGCTGATCGTGTTCATCCACGGCTTCAAGGTACGGTCCGCTCTCGCATCCGCGATTTGCCACGCTTCACCTGTTTTGCGCGCACGGATTGTGTCGGTCGCAAACCATACCTGTTGGTGTTGCTAATACTCGCAGGGGGGCGACGATACATTCGGAGACTTCCCTAGGCATTTTTGCTCGGTGGTCAGCCGTGCTCTTCCTGCCGCACGAGTGACAACCGCGGTCTACCCAAAGTACGAAACTCGAGGCGACCTGAGGGAATGTGTGAGCACATTTCGGGAATGGTTCGTTGCATCTTATTTCATGTGATTTCAATTCTGGCTGGTTGAACGTACCACTAAGCCACAGCCGTCGGTGCAGGCTGCAGAATACAGTCATCGACCTGGAAGTCGCGAACCGAACAGCTTCGCCCACCGTGGATCCTTCGGTCCATGTGTTTCTAGTCGGTCACTCCATGGGTGGGATTGTGGCGGCCGAGACACTCCTGCTACTGTCTTCCGAGCAGCCTCTGCCTCCCAAGCCCGCCGCCCATGTCTCAACGGAGCCCAACGCACCTGGCTCTTGCACCAATTCGGACACTTCCATCGGAGCCGGCTCATTTATGTTTCCGCATATTCAAGGGGTTCTCGCATTTGACACGCCGTTTTTGGGGATTGCGCCCGGGGTGGTTTCGTACGGGGCCGAGGGACAGTTTCGAAATGCTACCAGCGCGTATACCGCGTTGTCTGAAGTGGCTGGCCTATTCGGAATCGGAGGGAGCAACAATTCTTCAGGGGAGACAACATCGTCCGAGGAGCCTAAGAAATCTCTACCGACTTCATCGACTAACGACGCCGCTGCCACGCCGTCCTGGCAACGGTGGGGTCGGTACGCGATGTTTGCCGGAGCAGGCGCCCTGGCGGCCGGCGGGGCGGCGGCAGTGTATTCGCAGCGTCAGCGACTAACCGACGGCTGGGGCTGGGTGTCATCCCACCTGGTATTTGTTGGCTGCCTGGCACGCTCTTCCGATTTGCGGCAGCGCCTGGCGTCGCTCTCGGACGTGCAAAAGAACCGCGGGATTGCCTGCGTCAATTTCTATACGTGCTTGGGCAAGAATGCGAGCTCGCTGGTAGAGAACACAACCCGTAGCAATACGTCGTTCAGCCAAAAGATTATACGCTCCAAGGACCGCACTTTCTGTTCGCTTCCAGCGGGAGGCCAAGGCCCGGAGGTTCCGGAGCCAGGTCTCCGATGGGCTAGAGCCGTGAATGATAAAGCTGCAGATGAAATCAAAGCTCACACCAGCATGTTCTTGCAGACTCAGAACCCGGGCTACGCTTCACTCCTTCGCGAGGCAAGCAGAGCGCTAGTGGAGTCAGTCGACCGGGGCTGGTACGCCACGACTACAGGACCAATTGAGGAGGTGGATGGAGACATGCCGCAGCCCAAGAGTGGCACCCTCCACGAGCACTCCGATGGTGGATTCATGGACAGCGACGATGTAGTGGTCGTGGACTGAAAGCTTCAGTGCTTGTGAGGGGGAGGGAGCCAGTGAGGGAAGTCCCTCTCATCCTTACTCCATCTCCTATCTCACCCAACTCATTTGTTCTACTTTCCTCTCGTTGCCAACTCTTCGTGCAGATTGCTGCTGTCCACGGCCTGGAAGTAGTTCCAATGGAACAGATTCTGCATCCGATATTGTCCCGTTGCTCCACTAACTTCCGAAATCAAGTCTGTCGCCTGCCGGGGCAACAATAACACGCACGTCTGAAAGGCGTGAGTTTGGAGCTAGCGGACGAAGGGTCCGATCACATCCAGGCTGACAACGAAGGCGGGGGCCAGACACCAGTTGGCCGCGCACACGAAATGAAGATTCGTGGCTTACATCTGGCGCAGTCAATTTTGTGTGCCCGGGGAAGTATTGTAATAAAGTGATTAACTTATACGGTCCATAGGAAAGGGATGATAACATCCGATCATCCATGGACGGTGGACCTTCCCCTTTCCGAAGACCCGGCCGTGCGTCGAGTCCGGGTCTACCATACGGACTAAAGGAAACTGGTTTGAATGGTCTTCCTCCTGATCAGCAACTAAAATTTCTGTCGAGAAGTGAAGTTCCCATCTTCGAGCACTACGGCTCCTTCTAATATCCTCGTCAGACCACCGTTCACTAGAGTATGAGAATTCATTTTCTTCAGCGGTTGATTAAACCTCATGAGACCTTCAGCACGTGACCTCGATGGAATTCAGTCAGTTACCGTACCGATACAGTGGGTTTTCTCGATGGTTGGAATGAGGCAATTTGTAGTTAGGGTAGAAGTTTCGTGGAGGACCGAAATTGAGATCCAGACAAATTGATGGTTGGCCTGAGTCAGCGGGCATCTTGAGTAACTTAAAAGCTAGGTAGTATCTAACTTAACAGTCACCTATCTTGACCACGAGCAGGACATGACGTAAAGAGCCGGTTTCAGACTCGATCACTCGATCACTCGATCGCCCACTGAATTCCAGATCTTGGGCGGTAGGCTTACTTCCGAGCATAGTCCGAAACAGAACAGAGCCAATGCCGATATCCCAAGCAAATTGGTTTCAGAGAAAAATGTGGTCGACCTCACAATCATTTGTCTCTCACATTAAATGTCCGTGGAATTCATTTCCACAGTACATTTCTAAAAGTCCCGCGCACTACTCGGAACTGCAGTGCCCTTTTCAGGAACTACCTTGTACATGTACTAGTAAGGACTAGACCGGTCTAAGCTTGCCTCAAATAGGCAGGTTCTTGGAGGAGCCTGAGCCTGAGAGGGCAATGTTGATTCAATTGACCTTTGATCTATCTTCTCGAGAATTTGAGTGGCAAGCTGTGCCGCTAAAATGCACTTTACTAGCGGCCCTACCCATGCGCTGGCCGCAAGTAAGCAATAGTGAGCGACTATACTTCAGCAGCAACTACTTAGTTAACTGCTAATCATGCATAAGCTAGTCAGCTACACGGCGAGCTCGATACAGACCGAGCCCGCCTGAATGTGTACGGTATCTTGACTGTACTTTCGAGAAGTATTGGTGGTTGGTTGGTAGGTAGGGTACAGACAGTACTTCTTACCATTCGTGCTTCATCAGCACTACTCCCTCCGGAAACACCCCTGCAGGGACAATGGCGGCTTGATCTCCCTTAGCTCTGGGCAGTGGACAAGCAAACAAGCACTTTAACGAGTGTAGACAAAGAACGAAACAAAGAAATGCGAAACTCCCCCTCCGATCGACTCCTTCGCTCCCCCGCTTCAGCCCCACCCGTGCCTTTAGCTCCTCCAGACTCTCTCCTACTCGGCGAATGCCGAGCGGGCTGATTCTCTAACGGTTGTGGTTCTGACTCGCAGATGAACCAACCAACCTATCGAGTTGAGTAGGTACCTATCTACTCAGTATCTTGTGGCTGTTTCCAGCCCCATCGCCTCAACTAGGCAGATGAAAATGCCGCCATGACCCCCCCCCTCCTTTCTTTCTCTTTCAAACCCGCCTTCTCCTCTCCTCCTCCTCTCCCCCTCCGTGGGTTTGTTTGCTTCTACCCCTGGTCTTTGCTATGAGATCGTCGTTTCCAATCACGTTCACTCCTTCTTTGGGAATGTGATGTATAGGGAAGATCTACCTATGCTTGAGCTCCCACTGCAGGAATGATCAGTGATTGTGAAACCAGATAGATACGTTGCCCTGGTCATTGCCTCCACTTGTGTGTGGTTAAACTGTTACCCACATCATATGAAGCGGCAGCAGAGCGAAGAGAGAGTGTGAGTGAGAAAAAGAAACAGAAAGTCATGAGAGCTGCTGCAGTGCCGAGCGCAGACCAAGTGTCTCCCTCGGCCGAACAATCATAAATTGAAGCTACCCCGTCTGTGTTTGCCGGTAGCAATCTATTTACCTGCCTGCTAACTGTTTTGGTAGAGTTGGAGCGCGACGGTCGGGACGGGGCCGAGACCATTGCATCCACCACTGCACCCACCCCATATGGCAGATATATGGTACCATTTGCAGCATCGCTCTCCCTCTTTCCTAATACAAGATAGATTGCTGTCGAGTACAGACCAGCCAATTGTCCAAAGACAAGATTTAGTCTCCTCGAATCTCGGAGAGTGAATCCTTCTCAAACCTGCATATTCTGGCGGCGGATATCTTCTGCTGGGGCCCTGACTGACCTCCGCGGGTTGACGGCGGTCGGTCGGTGCTCAGGCCCTATCGGACTTCCTGCCAGCCAGCCAGCCAGCCTAGCCACACTTGCAATTCCCTTCTTGCAGATGAATATCCACCCCTTGGGCTGCTGTCACTGGCAGTCTCGCTACTACTCTGGACCCTAGATTAAGGTCATTTACAAGCCTACGACTACAATCTCGACCTGATTGGTCCCACAAATAAAGTTAGTGGTTGCATAGGTCTATACCTTAGTTAGGGCATTGTCGGCCCTGACCCAACTGCAGAAAATCCACTAGACGAGGTCAACAGACTCAACACAGACTGTGCGGAAATGGGGACAAGGCAAGCACGCCGTGATCATGGCGGACTTGCATCCGCGTCACCCAATGAAGCCCACTTGATATGGTCAACTTACGATCTTCCCCCATATCATCAATTGGGCCTGCACTAACCGACCTGAGTCTGAATTGTCCGACTGGACTTGGGAAAAAGCTAATTAAATCAGCTCCTGGAAGTGATTTAACTCGACCACAGTGGAAGCGACACGCCAGTATAAAACCATATTGAGTAACATTGACAGAAAAAAAAAAAGAATTCTTTTTTTGAATCCATGACGCTGTTTGTGGTCGAAGGCTCGCCGTTGCCCATGCACGAAGATCCTGGTTAGCGCCACGTGCGAGGAAAAGCAACAACGGCTGCGAGGGACCGCGTCGATCACCCATTGCCCGAACCGATCAGTCCGACGACGCTGATGGGGCTTCGCATCGCTGTGGAACGCGCTCCGCCGCTCCTCCTGGCCGTTAGGGCACCCCGGTGGATGTACGTATTTCTCATGTAGGAAGACCCGCCGCGCCTCGGGGAACCACCTTCTTTTCGGCCACTTTCGCCTTGACTTTTTGGTCCTTAGTTTTTTTATTAGGTTTTCGATTTTCTCTTTTCCTTTTCTGACCAGTTTTGCCCATTTCAAGTACCGTTTGGTTTGCCTTGTTGTGTTTCACCTGTGTTGTTCATGCCACTTTTCGTGGCCGTATTTGCCCGAGGAAGTATGAAAAGTCCTGAAACCTGCAGAGCGGGTCCGATATCGAACAGGCAACTCGACTTACATAGGAGGATCTCGATCGAACTATGGGGGAGGGGGCCAAACCGTTAGAACTTTGGAGCTCGATTCTCCGCATAATCAGGGGAAAGAACTGGAAAGGAATATTTGAAGGAAATAATCCCAGGAGAGGCGAGAAGAGACACAATCATATTCACAGACATCTCGAAAACCCACAACTTTTCGAGAGAAAACAAGGCAGAAATGATACAATACTACCAACCTTGAAAGGGTGCAGATAGACCGGATAAGGCCATTCCAATGAACAATAATCAAATCTGGAAACGGAAGAAAATATAGTAAATTAAAAACGGCGGAAGAAAAAAAAATTCAATCGCAAGGCGGTTGCTTGTCCCCTGCTTGTGATGGGCCATGACCGATGCTGGTAATCAACCACCACTCAACCCACCATCACCATCACCACCACTTTCATATAGAAAATATATTAGACTTGGTCTGGAACGCCCTCAATCATGAACAAAGGCTTTCTCAACCCTGCCCAGAGCCAGAAATCCGTCGAATTGTTGAATCCGATTGTCCCCCTGCTGTTGCTGGAACCCAACTATATCTTCCTCTTACCCTTCGATTGAACCAGCATCCTGGGCCATCTCAATCTCAATCAGGCTCCTATCCATTACCACCGAAAACGTGAGCCCAGAACCCTCAGCTGACCACTCATATCTGCTGTCACTACGATTCCTTCCTCACTCAGCCCTGGTTGAATTTTAAAGATCTGACAGCCATGTGCAACTACGTCCAAAACTACTACATTTACACGGCCTGCTACAGCCCCAATAGCCACTTCTTGAGGACAGAGATGGAAGGCATAAAAGACAATTCATCACGATGTGGGAAAGCCCCTCATGAACGATTTATTATTGTGCCGGAAAAGTGTACCTTGTGCATCAAGGAAGGCAAGTGAGTGTTTTACAAGAGGAGCTTGGGGGGGGGAACTTTCTTGCCGGAAGCTGGGGGAGGAAGGGAGATAGTTTCTGCCATGACAGGAGCAGAAGGGAGGATAAGAATCCATGATTCATTGGGAAGAAGCTTCCTTATGGAAGACTGTTATACCCTCCAGGGCTCCCCTCTCCAGCCTCTCAAGCCGTTTAGCTACGCTGCACTGGCGGCCACCTACCCGCTGGGCGACGGACTACCTACTATACTGCTTTCTCCAGCTAACGCCTTCCTCGTTCGACCATCCCGCAACTTCTTCGTCTTTTCTTCCGCCGTCATCCACTGCTGGACTGCCATCTCCATCTCCTTCTCCTTCTCCTTCTTGTCCTCTTTCATACTCTTTCATGTTCTTTCTCGTCTCCTTCTCATTCTGTTACCTCCTGGCTCATCGCCTTGCGACGAGTTCGTGTCTATTTCTTTTGGTCTCGTTGATATTCATTTGCATGGTGCTGGGGGCGGGGGGTTTAGAGAGAGCAGTCTAGAGTCGGGTTCTGCATCCACCGTTACTATCTACAATGGAGAGCTACCTTTGCTACTTGGGATTTGCCTACTGCCGCAAAGTCAAGAGCAAAGTTCGATTTAATTTCCTGTTCTTCCCACCAAAGTATTTTTCAAGGACGTCAAATCTCGCTTGCAGGAGAATGGCACCATCACGACTACACTCTTCTTTCCTCCCTCCGAAAAACACGCAGCATCACATGTTCTATTCTCCGGCAATCCACTTTCCGGCTTTTTCCTTCAAATGGAGGAAAAGGCAGCTTCGAACCTTCCCTTAACCCACCATGACGAACTCAATTCGAGAGGAAAAAAAAAAAAAAAAAAAAAAAAAAAAAAAAAAAAAAACACACACACACAACAGATAGACATAACAGGCCAGTGCTGGGCTGACGCTACACAAGGTCCCGCCTTGACCCTCACCCGCGCAACGGCGGCATTATGGCTCGCAAGGTGTCCTGGGGACACACTCCAGCGCTAGAGATCCTTAGCCGGATTTTAATTACTGTCAACGATGCACGGCGTCGGACGCAAAGGCCTGCAGCACCGTTGCCTGCCAAGACACCTATTATGGGGTCTTTCGATGAAGTCTGTGCTCCATCTCTTGTTCTTCCGCGTCGTCAGCGACCGGCCGAAAACAAGCCAGGCCCTGCAACGGGTTCGACAAGTACGCTTGGTCCGGCGGTCGGGGGTGATTTCCAGCACCGCAGCACAGCCCTTGGAGACTCGAGGGTCGCACCAGCTCGAGCTTCTGGGAGGGGTCTTTGAGGGTCCCTTGTAAGTACCAATCAAGGAGATAGGAGGAGTGAACTCCCGAACGAGAACTACTGGACGGAGGACAAGAAGAGCGAAGACGAAAACGAAAAGAAGGGCAGGGGCCCACCAAAGCAAATAATCAACAAGAGGAAACAGAAGATTGAAGGCCGGGATCTAGAGCGGGAGAAACAGGATCAAGCGATGCAGCAATCAATACCTCCTGTCCAGTACAGTGAATCTCAGACCCTGCCAAACCCCGTCAACCGGATAAGTATCTCCCGTTCGACGAAAGCACCTATGGCGACCAAACTGCCTGTCACTCGGATTAACATCTGACGTTGCTGTGCATCGGTATGCGCTGCAGGGTTCCTCATGCTGAAACTCAACGCAGAGCGTGGTTACACATCTGCCGACAAGCACACAGATTGCAACTAGTTACCTTAATTATCTGGTATTGCATGAGACGGTGGGTACTCCGCTAGTCTACCGGTTTGTCTATTGACTACTACTACATCGTCATCCGGTCAGTAAACCTCTCTTTCTGGTTTTCCTTCTCCTTTTTGACCTATTTTTTTTGGGTTCTTGGCTCTTGTTTTTGAGTCCTTTCTTTTCTTTGTCTTTGTTCTTCTCTTTTCTCATGTGATGTCTTTTCTTGGAGCGGGGATTGGGAAGGAGTTCATCGGCGGCAGTCATTGATAGGCGTGCAAAGCCAACGACGACCACGATCTTCTCCCCCGCCTGGTGCCTATCACAGTATTTGTCATTGGGCAGGTGACAATTCATTTTCAGCAACCAATTGAATTTCGCCTGTCTTGTACGTTTCTTTCCCGTTTTCTTTGATTTCCTCTCTATGGCTTATTTCGAAGTTGGGGACAACCCTGGAAGATACACTGATTGATCGTTCCTCAGGCCAACATTCAGAGCGGTTCCCACTCAACCCACATTCGGACCGATAGTGCATTCCTGCAGGGCATACTGATGGAGCCCCCCCACCCCCTTTGGGCTGAAGGCTCGCAATAGATGAAGAGCCGAGTAGTGAGCACCAACTGCCCAACCCTTTGTTGAGTAAATCCACAATATAAATACAGCATGCATAATTCAGTCAGGCAAGAACGGCAGGTGAGCGAGACGGTGAGATAAGGGCCGATGTGGCACCGATCTTGCTTCTGCTTTTGTTCGTCTGAGAGTCTGATCTTTTACCTCCCAGGTCAAGGAGACCCGGTTGGAGCGGATATTTCCAGCAAACCGAAGAACGGCATTCGACCAGTCGATGATCAGAATCAATTTGGTTTCAATTGGCCGTGGATGAGGCGTCGATCACTCTAATCATCATCTCTTTGAGCTGGAATGACGTTTTCGACCCCTCGATTTCAGATTGTCCTTCTGGAAACTTGAATTGATTTCTTTGCATCTCCGTGGCGCATCGATACACTTGTTCCCGTCTTCGGATGAGAAAAAAAAAATGTTACTACGATCGGCAAGACTCCACCAATGCGCGAACATATATCCCCGACATTGGGCGACGGAGACAGGCCGGCTGCATCATCGAGTCAGTCACCATGCCCTGCCCCGGCGGCCCAGCTTCCCCCGCTAGATTACTGTGTAGCACCACGGAATTGCTTCCGATGCCAACCCTTCGGGAGATGATACACAACAACGGCTGAATCGAGGATCGAAGTGGGACCCCTATCGAATGATGCATATTCTGAGTGCTTCTTTGTCTGCCGCCCATCACCTTTTTTTTTTCTTCTTTTCCACCAGTACCGTCCAAGAGGATCAGATTAGAAAACAACGACCTTATGCTAGTATGACCTCATCGCCCAGCAATCCACCTGTTCATTATTTGCTTGATGACAAGGACTCCGAAGTGGAGAAGGCTTGAAACCCGCCACTGATCATTGTGTGGAATCCGGCCTCTGCCGACCACCAACCCATCCCTCGAAAGGGGATGATCCATGCAGTTTAGGTCCCTGAACACGGTAGTTGCGAGGTGTCAAACTCACAATTACCGGCGCAAATGGGGTGTAAGGTCGTTTGTCTCTAGTTCCAGATCGCCATCGGCCGCGTGCCCCTCAGACAAGGGTAGGGGTGCCTAACTGAAGTCAAGAAACAACACGTAGGCATGCTGATCGCCAAGAAGTTCCAACGGCAAATTCTGCCACGCTATGGATGACTAGTTTAGGCACTATGCTCAGCACTACTTTTTGACTCAGCTGGAAGGCTTACATACATAGTACATATGCGGTCGCTGGGTATGTTAAGTTTGCTGACAGTAAATCTCGCAGGGTGAGCCGGCATTTTCCAGGGAGGATCTTTGAGCATCGGGTACCTGAGAGCCCTATTGATCTGGATAGAGCTGACGGACTCGCTTACAATTAGAAGTAAGCTATACGGCAACGACTTACTAGGGACTGTGCTACACTCTCGATCTGGGTCACGGAACTGGATTAATGTCCTTAACTCGGCTGCAATCACCACGTCTCTTCATGATATTAGTCGTAATCAACCATGCAAACACCCCCACTGACGAATCGGGTAAGAGCCTCATCAATTATATGAGTATCACAAACTGGCGCCGGGTCCAAGGAGGGAGAGTACTTTATCTCTCACGCCCATCGTCATAAACGAGGCACTTGGAGATATTGTCAAGCAAACTCACACTAAGCCGCAAGCGGAAGTACGTACATCGGTCCACGGTGCTCCCAAGGGAAACCAGAGGTACTGCACTCTGAGGGGTGCGGTGCTTGCTACCGAGGACAAGCCAAGCGAGAATCGTCAGGGCCCCCCTGTTGTAGGGAGAAATCCCCGACCTACTGGATCGAGGGGATGCACAAGGGTTGCTGTCATTCTTGTCAGTTATATTATATGATGAGCAACAATACCTGACTTAAGTACTCCTATGTACTATATGAGTATGGAAAGGAGGGATCATCGCATCTGGCGCGATATCCTCCCGCGATATTTCCGAATTCTGGTTTGGGGACCATGCTGATTGGGTCGGGCCAGCTATAACTTACCACTGGTATCTATAGTTACCATGTGGGAGAGAGTATACCACGAAAACCGGAGTCCGCATAACTGTCATATCAGTGCGCGTCTGATCAACTTGTGCAGGAAGCCATAATCGATCCATCAGTTGCGAGCTTGTGCCTTGATCTCCCTCTGGCATAGTCACTCACCCAGATGAGTGAGTACTCACAGACAATTCGGGGATCCCTTCCAGCCACCTCTCGACGGTAAGTTACGTGCCACCGAAAAGGGAGTACGCACGGCATGTAGTTCGTTATTATGTGCTACGGTCGTCAGCACCTTGAACATTGAGATCCAAGACCGTGCGACCTAACTCCTATGTACGGTACAATAGCCACCCCCCGGCCCCGGCGGGAATCACATATCCTTTTGTGTGCATGGAACCCTGAATCTCCCAACGCTTCTGCATCCTGTCCTGTCCCCGGACCGAGGGGAGCCTGTCTCTGTCTACCGATACATAACCCCTAACAGTAACAGGCCAAAAAACGCACAGTACACTACCGTAGATATCCGGTCGCAAGCTAAGATGCTTATTTTTGGGGGGCCTCGTCTCTCAAATGGAAGGGGAAAAGCTGGTCCCTGGTTGGCTTTTTTTCTTTTTCTTTTTTTTTTTTTTTTTGCTTCTCCAAGAAAAAAAAAATTTGTTCCAGCTCCGGTTGTACTGTACTATGTGACATTTTTCTCTCGGTAGGCAAGGCAACGGAAAGAATTGAGTAAGCAAGTGCATGCATGACCTTTCCGACAACGGGTGAAGAATATCCCGATATACCAGAGCGTGGGTTCATCGCCTATCATAGGGAATAATAGCATGACAAAGTCCTTTCCGTCTTAATCAAACACTATGTTCTTTGCTATAGCAGATTGGAAGCCATGGGCTGGATGCTGACAGCGAGAAACAGTCGGCGGATATATCTTCTCCAAATTGGAGAAAATTGGGGTCCGTTCTGCATGGCATATACGTCCACTAACTTCTGGATATGATATGCGATCACTCATGTACCCACGGATGATAAGATTAAATCATGCATAATACTATGTACTGCACATAGTTCTCAGTAGGATCCATCCCTATAGTTGTGGTTGATTATAATATCATTTATTTAATCATAATTAGCTCGGAAGCAGTCGGTTAATCGATCCGTGATTGAAAACTAATTTTCCCTTCCTTCCCCGCTGCCTTGCGACGAGCCAGGGCTGTATATGCGGCGAAGGAACATGACTTGCGAAAGATCCGAGGAGAATCAGAGACTCCAGCATATGAAGTGCCTGTCTCACTTGAGCGAAGCTCCAGAAGAGGAGGTAGAGAATGGTGAGGGGGGAGCAGAAAATCTCTATTGATGCCCCTTAAAAAATCCCTGCGCAGATTAGCGTAATCAAGGGGGCCCGTGATAAGTAACGCGACAGCCCCAATATCATCAGAGAATATGTATGCTAGTCGTCAACGATCATTCACCCAATGGTGATAGTCGTAGATGGCAGTTGGCTTGAAAGATTGATGATATCCCATACAGCCATATCGACGGCCGAACAGAAACAAGCCCGAGATACCCGAGGGTAAAATCTTCATGCTTGTTGGTCAGTAGTCCCAAGCCAAGGGATTAACTACAGTATAATTTCGAGACATCCGGAAGCTTGTAGTCTAGAGCTTCGGAGATAATACCTCGAAGTGGCCTGATTTGACCACTGCAGCGAGAACAATGGCTTGGTTATCGTCGTCGTGAAGGGGTTAGGAACTTCGGGACAATGCAAAAGGATGATCTCCCCTCCGCGAGCCATGCAGGAAGAGCCCATTCAGGAAGAGCCCATTCCGACTAGATGAGTGACCAAGGCTCGTGCCCCAAGCAGGACAGCGTGGAAAATTCGGTGAGACTGCCGAATCGCAGCCGACGGTCGACCCCGTCCACCCTGCCCCTCGTAGTCGTCATGACGGCTCTGGCGCACATTTCAAAATCAATGGCTCACTAGAACATGCACCAGCACGTATCAGTCAGGATCTGAGCGCCGATTTGTTTCAGGGTGGCGACATGACCCCCTTGGCATGCCTGCGCGTCCGGATGGAGGCGTTATGCTCATTACAGTTGAACTTGACGGCGGTGTCCATGCCCCGATGCCTTCCACATATTCGTACAGGGACAGGAGAGACTCTCGGTCATTTCTTCGTACGGGAAACCTGTGTCAGAAACCAGGTCGATCCGAAAGGTGTCAACAACAGTGGCCGTTCTGACCACAAATCATGGAATGCAGTGGTCCACTTCTGTTAAATCGTTGTCATTCATTGGCCGGCTAAATTTCCCGGTGTAATTGGA